TGCACTCAGAGTAACATCGCAAGCATATTATTCACCTGAGTACACAACACCAACACAGAAAAATTCATATTAGTAAGAACACATTGGTATAGAAGGAAGTAGATACTGTTCCGAAATATCACTTACTCGAACCGTCCTGACCGCGTAGCTCAGTTGGAAGAGCATTGGGCTAGTATTCCAAAGGTCGTAGGTTCGAATCCCACCGTGGCCGGTCATATTTTTCAAACACATGCATGTTATAAGGGAGGCATTCACCCCCCTGGAACATTAAATTTCAATTCAGAACATGGCAAACTGAAAAATCCCTTACGCTATAATTAACCTGAAGTGAAACCTCTGTATGTAAGTACTCTGTGATGGGACTATAATGTACTACAAGTGCGCAGACTATTCTTAGCAGACATGCGTAATAATATTTCACAGACTGTACACACTTTTTTCTAACCATACAGTATGGCAGGAAATAATGATGGATCTTGGCATCCAGGCTTAGCTGGCAGAACATTTTAGGGAATTACATACATGCATAATGCTACAGGCACAGAAAATAATTTATTAGGAAGAGTACTATAGTGAGCTCGGCACACTAACGTTGACCCCAAAACTTAGGATCCCATAGCAGAAACAAAAATATTATTCCTTGCTATGCATATATACAAGCACTTGATGAAAGTAACACGCAACTACATTCTATGCATACTGTATAAGAAACGATTGCATGTGATTTAAATTTACATGTATAATAAAACATGTCAACAGACAACAAAAGGTGGGAAAAGTATCGGAACCCAGAAATGTTTTGGAGATCTACATTTTTGCAGAAATTTTCACAGATATTTTTTTATGTTTGATAGCTGTAACTAAGTCTGAAAATTACACTCAATACGTAAATTACAACGGAACAGTTTGGAACAAGAATATTCAGTACAGCCTGCAATAGGAAATTTGTTTTTAATCCTGTAAGTGACTGTATAACTATATACTTCAGAATTTATCTTGTATGCCTGATCAGTCTTAAAGACATACAATGCTTCACACGACAATATACATTATGATGAACATAATCCGCGTAAAGTAATTTTATATAAAATTATATTGTTATTTTATATATTGTAGCCTAATATTTTGCAGAAAAGTTTTAACTCTAAACCCAGCTCCCCAGTAAGGAAAAACATTTTCCACCTCTGGGGGATTTGGTTGATATATATTTGGAACGGCACTGCAAAAATGTTAACAGTGGGTGCTTATATATATATATTAAAGGGGCTCCTGGAGTTACTCAATTCCATATGACCATATAACAATTTTATAGGAATAAATCTTTGTGATCATTAGAAGGGTTATTTATATATTGCGTCATACTCCATGTATACACCCAGACATTCCCCAGGGCAAAGCTCGAGCTCAGACAACATTGTTTTCTTATTATTACTGATATCACCATATCAGCATGGTTGTCTGTTAATTTGTCTCATTTTAATACATTCTTCACACCTATTATACTCATCACATGATTCAGTATGTGCTATTATTACCAGCAAATAAATTGAAGAGCTATCATATACTTCAATTCAATTTGCATAGTAAACTGCATGTAGGAATCAATATCCAACTTTTGTGTTGGATTAAATTTTGTTATAGACTAAATAGGTAGGTTCAATTTAAGACAGATAATAAGAATATCTACTAAATGAATACTGTCTGTTTAAATTCAGTGTTATCTTGAAACATCGCGAGTTTGGACTTCAGATTTCGTGGTTGCATTATGGCTTTGCATTATATTTACAATTGAATTGAATGATTTAACCGCTCATGACAGGGCTCGTTAATTTCATAATATAGTGATACTGATATGATGATTTTTGGTAAATTTCCAATGTCCTAATTATGAAGTGCTAATGACATCACTTGTAATGTGTTGCTTATGTGATTGTAATATTTGCATGGTGCCCCAATTGGGTGAACATCTACAATACAACATACAATGAAAATATGAAATGCACCCACTGCTGATCTTATTTGCTTGGTACTGTGCATGGTTTATCATGCGGCTGAGCGTGTTATACATAACTTGGCGTTTTAACTTTGGTTTTGAGAAATACTATTTGTCTAAATATCGTCAGGCTGTTACAAAGTTAAGAATGTCAGCACATAGATTACTGGTTGAAATTGGGCGATACAACAATGTTTAATTCATATACAGTGATATACTATATGTATAAACATTGTGATCTGAATGAGACTGGGGACGAACGAAATTTTTAATTATTTGTCATTCCCTCATTTCTCATGAATTATTATTGAGTTTTTTTAATTAAACTTATATAATGCCTAATTGCCAATGCAAGACAGAACAATTTTTGAAACTCGTCAAACTAGGCTTATCAGTACTAGGCTATCAGTGTCGGCGGTTCCTTAGTATTGTATTCTTTTAAGCTATAGTACATGAACAGCTTATTTAATGGTATAGATAAATCAGATAAAGATACAAATGCATCTAAATAATCAAGCTTACCAACTATTTTAACGGGATCGTTTCAACCGACAAAATCGAAGGCTAAAGTTTTTGTAATTCAGGACAAGATATCCATATCCGATTTATAGATATTGACAAAACATTCATTTCATTTCGTTTGAATTTTCTCATGCATTATTAATGAGCATGTACCAAATAAATGGTTGAATGTAAATTCTCATAAAAATGATATCGTACCAAAACGACTCAGTGATACTATCTGAAAATCATGTCTCGTTTCATGACGTAGCTATAGTATTACTGATACCTGCTGAATCTTGGCAAATTTCCAGTGTTGTAATTATGAAGTTTTAATGAAATCACTTGTTTTTAATGTGTTGTCAATCTGCTAGGCAAATTGGCACCATACCCTCTTAATTCCAGCTATACACCTCGCCTATATACTGATACTATCTGTATTTATCTATATTTCAAGGCGTGCATGTTAATATGCAATGCACGTGTATGATCTTGTTAAATAAGGAGTGGCAGATCTCTGTCTCAGCGCCATTCAATTCAGTCATGCATAGGTGATTAGTGTTGATTTGTATTGCATAGTATAATTGACTTTGCAATATTTGAAGATGTGAAATAGATAAATTTGACATCGTTGGCTCGCATTACCCTTCAGAGCCGTTTACACTTGAAATCGCCAACGACATATGAAACCGCCATTGTAAACACCCTGCGATTTAACTGCAATTTCAGTGCAACTTTACGGCAGCAAGCTACAAACAATTCAATCGCGTGCTCGAAATTTTTCTTTAGAGGTACTGATAATTTACAATAGCTACTGAAAAAATCCCCTTCAAATTTGTAATGCTCGGACCCTAAAAGTGGGCAGGGTCATTGCGATTGGGGTGTGTGGGGCGGGGTGCATCCCCCAATAATTGCTCTCAGGTAGAATTTCAGTAGATTTTCAGGTAATTCTCAGGGCATGAAAAAGTGAACTCTATGCTCTGAATAAGAATTAGAGTTAACAATCGACCAACTAAAGACATTGAGACGCGTCGTGGCAGGGGGACAATTGCCAAATCCTTTCTGACGATCTGGAGACTCAAATTTCCAAACTGATTTTCTCAATTTTCTAGTCGCATTAAACTGTAAGTAACAATACTTATCTTCATTGTTAGGCAATACTAAAATATTGAAATATTGGGCAGGAAAAACTCTCAGTGAAAATGCCATTACCGACTGTCTAGAGACTTCAAATTAAAAAAAAATTTTGTCGACACCAACCATGGTTGCGCCTCGCAGGCGCCACAAAATCAGGTAAAAACGTTAAGTTGGAAAAATTCTGGTAAATCTAACCTCCCCCCCCCAAGGCAATATCCTGGCAACAGCCCTGAAAGAAGGGGGGTTAGCGCTGGCTAAGCTGGATTGACCAATACACAGCGGCCCAATCTTGGGGTAGGGGTGTTTCAGGGTAGTGGGCGGTATTCAATAGCAAGAATATGTCATGTAAAATAGTCATAGACAAATGTATTCAACCCAATACACAACTTTAGATAACGCACGTACATATAATAATCATTGTCGTTCTAGTATACAGAAGTATAGAATAGATCAAAGTAACTAAGCTTTAGAATTATCTACGTGAGTGAATAACTCTTATACATAACCTTTGTTCTACTCTATGGCTATGCTTCTGTAAACTAGAACAATAGTAACTAATTTATCCAATGACTAATGTTGTTTTAAATTGTTGGGCGCGGACGAAAATTACTTTGTGTAAATCCAGCCACCCATGCAAGAAAATAAAGTGCATTATTATTAATATAATCCACCTTTGACGTAGAAAACTTTTTTTTTAAATCCAGTAATCATACTAGCTAAACCGTAAGTCCTACCTAATTCAGACTCGAAAAGTACGTCAGAAAAGCGATAAACTCTTTAAGCAAGATTTGTATGCCCGCACTCTCATTCGTTAGAGCGTTAAAGTAAACAAATTCAGACACGATCAATACTGACACCACATAGCTAGTCCTCAAATTGTTTTTCGAACAAACACTTCACTCAGTGTTGCTGTGACCAATTACACCTTTACTGCATTATACTAAAATACAAATTGCGCAATAAATTTAATAGTCGCAAAGTGTCCACCACTCCACCTCTGCGCGCAACTGAATATATAATTAATTTCCTGCAGTTGTCTGAATATGATTTCGTCTTGAACTGTTTTCAACTGAGCCGGATCCAGGAGGTATTCTAAGAATTTTTCAATGGTACACACTTCAGAGAATGGGTATGCAATTTGATGAAATTTGGAAGTGCTCATTTTCATCGGTGGTGAAGAAACAGTAACCACATCAGTTAAACATTTTACGCAGGTGCATGCAGGCATCCTCCTTTGGGAAATTTTGAAGTCTCTGAAATGCCATTTCCTCTATTTTGGGAAGATTTTATACAAATTATATAGGTAGCAGATCCCAATTTATGAACTGTCTATTCTCTATTTTAGAATATTTATACACATTTGAAAAATGACTATACTATTGTTTTTCACGGGTTCCTTGTCAGTAAGAATTGTTCAAAATTTTCCTTTTGACTTTTCCTGTTCCTTATCATTAAATTAAGCCTAACGTAACCGGCGTAAGCCATATTGTTCAACGTTAATAACTTAATAGAGTTGCAAAAAGTGTTCAATCTTCCTCCAGTTAAATTTTCAGGATTTAATACCTTACTCAAAAAATCTGAATTAGCCATTTTTCAATTTGCAAAATATACGATTTATCAGTGTCATTCAAAATCGGCTTCTTATTCCTATTATCGACTCGCATTTAGCATTGATCAGCTGGTTAATTGCCTTGTGCTTACATACACATAGACTGTACAGACTGTCTATAGCAGATGTATATTTTACGATTGCTACAAAAATGTGGTCCCTAGAAATTGTGTTCCACATTGGACCTCACATATGGTAAACCTTCCTCAGGGGGGGGGGGGGATACTCATCTTCTTGTGCAACTAAACGTTACGTTATAGCACTGTCTTGTACTATATACCAAGTTAAAACTGAAAATTTCAAATCTCCAATACTGCACCGTGCACTCGTTTAAATCAATACTGCACAAAGTGTGCAATATTGCACACTAAAATGGGCTGTGCCCGGATCCGTGTGACCATGGGCCTATGTGGCCATGCATATATAGTAAGAAAAACTCTAGCAAAAAAAAAAAATGATTTACACTACTTGACTTGTGCTACCATTTTGGGTGTGGAGGAGTTATGAATGTTCAGACGAGGTTTCACATACTCGGAACAGTCACGACTCATCTACTGACTACTCGTTCAGTAACTATGATCAGAAGAAGAAATTCGCACTGAGAAATCGCAGCAAACATTGCAGTCGCGTGTAAGCGGGCGTTAACACAACCTTCATTACAGACCTGGAAATAATCGTGGGGACGTCGTTCCAAGAAAGGAATTTTAATTTGGTTGCAGAAAGTTTTGGGCTGGTTATTATTAAGTCAGTATATTTGGCCCCGAAAGTCTTTGGTTCCCTTGATCATACATTAAAAACTCCTTGAAACTGGATTTTCTTTATCGCACATTCACACACTGAAATACTATTCTTGAAATTTCCTTGAAAATGGAAACACGGGGTATATGTTAATATATTGCTTTTAGTAAAGACGCCAGACAATGTTCAGTGATTCTTCTCTCTTTCTCATCTTAAACATCCTTCCATCCCCGGCACATGCATGAGACCGATGGATCTCGGATAAAATCACTGGAATAAGAGCATTTACTACGACTTAATTTGATATGCTAACATTAGTAATACGCATACAATTTATATGCATATGGCCTGGCCGAAAGCTAAAGGTAAAATATTCCGTTTAATTACTGTAATTCCGATCAATTCAACGGGTTTTGCCTAGCAACTGTATATATGATGGGATATCCGTAAGTTCTGTTAAATGTAATCTAACCACCGTGTTTACAAAGAAATTATTTGCCTCTTGCGTAGGATCCAATAAAGAAAGGCTGAAATTATTTCCAAGTCTGACCTTCAATCAGCCATCATACTGATCATAGATCATGGTTATTATGCAATTAACGTGCACAAGACAGGCCGATTTGGGACGCGTGACTACAGTCTAGATTCATACGGAAACAGATGAAAAAACAGAACACTTTAAAAGCAGGAAAGATTATATAGATGAGAGGAAATTGTTGTTGCACTCGAAACAATAAAAGATACTTCGCTATAGAATGAGGTTGAAATAACATGCCGCACTTAATTTTGTCAAGTTCTACAGTTAAACTACATCCCTGTTTCCTTACTGTTTCCAATTTCCATACTAATTTTCATTTTTGGCATCTCGCTCGATATAACTAAATGGTAATGGACATTTAGACGTGCAACTCGCCACATTCTGCGAACTGGCTTGGGGCGATATGTTATGTTAAATAGCATTACCAGAAAATCAGCTAGCATGGACTGCTTCTCACTCTCGTTCATCTATTTCATGCTTCTGTGGCATGTTACGTGAGTCAAAAGCTTGGCAAAATAGACTGAAGAACACGTTCTCAGTTTTACAGTGAATAGGGTTTACATAAAATCAGTCCGTGCCAGATATTGCGTTTTAAGTTACAGCAAAAATTCCCGTGTGTAATGACGTGTACGTGGCCTTAATATAGTGTCCATCGCTGACACCACATTATAATAATTCGCGCGCATTCCACATTATTTTCGCTTTTCCTATTTACCTTGGATTAACTGACGAGCAAAATTAACTATTCGTAGAAAATCCGATTTTCTCAAATCCTAATTTCTATTCATGCCAAATTCCCATGCGACTTAACATATAATACATAAGCTTGATTGACAAGTGCGAAAACTCACAAGTGAGGTGTGAAAGTTTGATAGGTGATTAAACCATCAAACCCGTGCCAAGACTGATAAAATTTGTACATACGAATGTATTATTAAATGATCACCCAAGGCTAAAAGGCGAATGGCCAAAGATTTACTGATACGATTCAATACATTATCTGGGAAAAATCTGGGTTGCTATATTCTATCAATCGCAACCATATCAACACTTGATTCTTAATCTTTCGTCAGATACGATTATGCAAAGATGCGGCGAAGAGATTAGGAAATGCAGCTCAATATTTTGAGAGACAACTTGTCTGCAGCTGTGAAATTTTAATACCACCAATGTAAGGCTGTAAGCTTGCATGTTTGTATATGTTATAAGACCCGTTTCAGACGGCGTACTTTTCATGGTCCTATATCTAACTTAATTGTATTAGATGGAGCGATCAAGAACGTCGCATAAAATATAATGTTGCAAGGTTGGGGCGCATTCGCGAAAAAATCCTAAATAAAACATTAAATACAAGACGGCTAGCCTAATATACTAACAAATTTCAAAAAGGTTGAGTTAGGTTTGGCACATAAGTGGAACGGCTTATGAATCAATGTCGCTCCCAGCGTCGCATAATGCGACAGGCTCTGCCGAGTTTTGTGCATGTTTCGTAACATGCATTCAAAACAGTCGAGTATAATATAACACTTGCATGTTCATATGACAACATTCACAATTGGCATACAAACTTATATAGAGAAAATGATGCCTTTTATTTCAGTGGACAATTTTTTACTACTATCTTCAGCGGTTTTCTCAACCAGCACGAGATGTATTTAAAAGATAGCTATTAAAATGTACCAACTAGAAACTGAGCTAAAACAAAGTAATTTTGAGACAAGTATACAAAAAGATTGTATAGCCTGTAGGTTTTCCTTTTCATCGCAAACTACGCGACATAAAAATTGAACTGAAAAATTTGCAATTAGTAATTAATAAAATGCCGGGATGTCTATATAGACTATAGTCTTAGTACTACCCTTATTTTTGATTATACCAAATATCCCCAGGTTTTCTGCAGGTATACCCAGGTTTCCTAGCATAATAGCACGTACAGGTTTCCTAGCATAATATTCTATAGTATATAGTTCAATAAGAGATGGATCTTACTTATTGTCTATAGGTCTCTGTTAGGAGAACAGTTTATATAGAGCTGATAGTATATATATACTATCCAGTATAAATAAAGTTAGCCGCTTAATTAGTTTAGGTTTCGTCTGTACTGACACTAGACTGAATAAACGATCACCCTTACTAGATCTATAACTATAAGGACTGGAGAACAGTTTTGAACTGATAGAGCTATCAAGTATAAATATAAAGTTAGCTTAGTGTAGGTTTCCTCCTGTCAATAAAGCTAGGATGACCCTCACTGGACCTCTATAGGGAGAACAGTTTTTAATAGAACTGATTGAGTTATCCAGTATAAATAAAGTTAGTTACCATGCATGTAATAAGGTTTTAACCTTTTTAAACTATGGAGTATGGACCCATACATGCAATCTTATAAATTATTCAAGACAGTTGCCTATGCATGGTCTAAATTAACAATAATTGATGCACGCTTTATATACATAGCTAAGTTTGCTACTAAGTTTAGTCTAAGTACATAGCAACTATAATTTTGGCTGCGATTATTGTTTTTTTTCACGGTCCATTCACAACCGCATGTGGTAACGACTATGCATGTGATTTGTTTGCAAGAATAACAACGTTTCTTGCTCGCAGCTTGGTGCCAAGTTTAAAATAGAAAAAATACGACAAAAATAGAATAAGAGCAAATCTGCTGTCTAAGACATTTATTTAATGGTTCCCCATTTCCTTGCTACGGACCAATAATTAATACTAATGATATAGTTTTTAAACAAATTATATTTTTCTGGAAAGCTCTATCAGTTCTAAACTGCATGCATGGTCTCCCCACAGTTCCAATAAGGATCATCTCTTATTGATTTAGTGTCACTTTAGAGTTTGGGAGGAAACCTCAACTAAACTGACTTTATTTATACTGGATAGCTCTATATAAGTTCTAAACTGTTCTTCCTAGAGGTCCAGTATATAGGGTCATGTTTTATTGTTACTATAGCTAGGAGGAAGCCTGAACTAAACTATGACTTCATTTATACTGGATAACTCTATAATATCCGTTCTATCATAAACTGTACTCTCTAGAGGTCCAAGTAGAAAGAGCCATATACTTTATTGGTCAAGACTCAAGTGTTGCTGCTGGGAGGTATTAAACAGCATATTGCATAAACAGGAGATCCATCAAGGGGGACTGAGTCCAGACTCGGTAGTTTTGTATCATTGACATATGAAAGAACTTCAAGTGTTTTGGAGTGAAATAAATCCAAAAATAGGTTAATTTAAGATATGTAAACAAGGATATAAGCTATTATAACCGAAATAGATCTGACCGCACAAAGGCCAACATATATTACAATGTCAATGAGATACCAAATGATGTTAAATTTTCATATAAGATTGCTAGAGTTCATGAAAATATATTAAGCCATATTCGGAGGTTTGTGTGAGATTTAGGAAGAAATTAAAGCATTATAGATTCTTCGCTGCAAGATTAATGAATGCTGGTATATATAACTGAACTTGGAGATAAAAATAGCCGGGACTAGGATGCAAATTTTAAATTAAGATATTTTTATTCTCTGCATGTCATGCAATTTAATTCAAGTTGTCGGAAAGCCTGTTTGAGTTCTAAAATTAACCAAATTACCATTAGCTGAAGGCAAAGTGATTAACCAATTGCTGAAGGCAAAAATTGACTGCTTTAAGAGTAATTATTATGCTATACTGGCATGAATAGATCATGATTGTATGACACTTTCGGCAGCGGCTTGAAAGTATTTCTAATAAGCTCTCTTCTTTGTGTAATAAATTATAAAATATTTGTCCTGAAATTTTGGCATATTTATCAGGTTGAAATGATGTGGTAATGATTTTAGTAATCTGTACTTGATTACTATGATCCTAACATAGACAAATTCGGGTAACGTTGTTTACGTCGTTGCTACCCAATTCAGAACTTTAGATAACTCGCATGCCTAGTTACTATTGTTCTAGTTTGCCGAAGCATGCTCGGAAGCATGCATATAGAATAGAATGGAACAAAGGTAACTAAGCACTAGAGATATGTATAAGGTTATTCGCTCATTTAGATAATTTTAATGCTTATAAACTTAGTTATATCTTTGTTCTAGTCTATGCTTTTGTGCATGCACATGTGAGTTACTCTGAAGTCAGTTGTGAATTGGGTATAAATTTGAATGAATTAGCGTCGATATATTCGAACCTTTTATATGAATTTAAGTCCTTTCTTCAAATTAAAAAAACGCTAACATGAAGGATTACTATAGAACCAAGAATTAATACTGGAATTCCATGATTGTTTATTATGTTGCATACACCCTCTACCCCTTGTCACCCTTACCTCGCGCTCGTGTAACCCCTCCTCCTTTGTGAGTATAATCGTGATATCTGTAGGCGTAGCCCAGCCCTAGGGGCTAGGGAAAGTTTGGGCCGGACAGCTTATCCAGTGAATAAGTGAACAAGTAGATAAGCCCAAAATAGTAAACTGACGTATACTGCATCGGAAATGTTTTCGCCCGTCACTTTGATTTTAAGTAAATGATGCAAAGCCCAATCGAAGTACAATAGTGATTATGGGTAAATATCAAGATTTTTTGAGAGGCATCTCACTTGATTAAACTAATGTTGAAGGATTTTGTACAAGAAATTAGTAGAGTGTAAATCTTCACATTTATTAGACCTAACCAGGTGCAACTAAGGCCAAATAAAAATAATAGTTGGTTTCAGGTTTCCGACCGACCTGTCAAAAATATGACCGACCATAAACATTTTATTGAGTCAGACATTTCCCAGTAGAGATCATCTTTTCGTAAATAGCAGAATATATGAATAGTCATCAGACTCATTTCAGTCACCAGATTTGTCTACATGCAATTTTTCTCTTGTTTGCTTATAATTTAATAATTATCTAGTCATGTTAAATCGTAGTTTTACACAAAGAACAGTTGAATAAAATATTAAAAACATACATTATTCTCAGTATCTGACATGGGATCTACGGCTGAAAAAAGGTGAAAATGCCTTCATGCGTTTGTTTCTTGCGAAACACATGTGGCTTGCATGTACTGTAACATGTTTCTTGTGAAACACATGTAAAAACAATAAAAACTAAGAGTTTATAATGAGTTTTAACTTATATTTATTGCATACTTGAGATGATAATTTTTTAAATAAAATGTTTTTCCGACCTACCTACCCATATAAAACATGGCTGTGAAACCTGAAACAAACTATTTTTTTATTTGGCCTAAGAAAAATGCAATGATTTGGATTCTTGCACTTCACTTGGTGGAATTAATATTAGAATGTTAGGGTTTGTAATCCAAGTGAGAATATATACATTTTAAGACCTAACCAGGAACTACGACTGCGAAATATGCAGCACAAGGTCCTCTGGTAGGAATTGAACCTACGGCCCTGCGATTCCGGTGCAGCGCTCTAACCAACTGAGCTACAGTCGTTCCTGGCTAGGTCTTAAAATGTATATATTCTCACTTGGATTACAAACCCTAACATTCTAATAAGAAAAATGCAACTGTTCTTGAATTGCACATGACGTCATGGCGGCCATGTTGGAGGAACGCAAACAATATCATTAACAGCTATTGTATTTGGGCGTGTTTTCCTCCAACATCATGGCCGCCATGTCTTTGTTGTTCACACGCCTCCCGGTCTTAAAGAAATGTTCGCACGCCTCCCGGTCTTAAACGGTAATTTTTAATTTAAATTCTGTTTCATTTTAGATTTTAAATGTTAAAATCTTTTTATTTATGTCTAAACGGTACGTCTAGTGTATTTTTTGTTTGTTTCAATTGCATTAAATCGTTAAATATAGCCATGTTTTTTTATTACAATTTGGTATTTAAATTCCTCGCCATCTTTTTGTGCCCCACGCATGCGCAGACGTTTTTCCGCGGTGTTGATTTACACTACATATACGTTTTGCCTAAAACTGCCCCATGCAACCTGCTTACAACTTGAGTTGTATTGTGTAAATCAAGCACACAACTCACCTACGTCAAATCGGCTTTTACAGGGAATTTATTATAAGGAGTATACGAATTTTGTATAGAGGAAAAGACAGTCTCGATCATTTATGTCTAAAATTGTAGTGTCTTCATTAGGCGGATTTAATGTCCCACCGTAGCGCCTGAAAAACTCAAGGGATGACATCATCCCTACCGCCATGCATTTCTACATCACCTGCATGTAATACAAGTCTTAGGGGCAGATTGACAATCACCCCCAGATCACCTCGTCAGAGCAAGCACGTTTCACCTCTGAATTCGTGGGCCGGTTGGGTTATGGCTACGGACTCGTGTGAAAAGAGTCTGCCAACGCTCTGCCGAAAGTCGTGAAGATTCTCAAGCCGGGTGCTCCGGTTTCCTCCCACAGGGAAAGTTAACAGGGTGGGTTAGGCTTTCCATGTCGGCCTGTTTTAGAATGGCAGGCGCATATATGGAGGGTCATATCCCCATGTTTCGTGCACGAATATGTTTCTCTTTGATCTTAAGCCCAATCACAAACCTATCCGTTAGGAAATAACAACATGAAAACGAGGCCATTGGGGCAAGAATGCAATAAACAGTATAAGTGTATTGTTGTAAAGATAAATAGTTTAGGCTAATAGGATAATATAAGTAAGCGTAATTCCTGATGTAATTGGTCACTGAATGCATGCATTTCCACCTTCGCATCAGCGTAAGCCAAAATTACTGCGGAGGAGGATATATAGCGACTATTTTGTAGGCGTTCCGGAGAATGTCGCAAAATCTGTCTCCCTCTAAGTTCAGTCGCGCCGACGCGCCGCATAACATGTCGCGATGCAAAGTACTTCAGCTGGCCAGCACTGTCGTCCGAGAGTCGCTTCAATGACGTATGAACATTTCCTGGCTAGGGTGTGAGAAAAAATAATAAAAAGAACTTACGAATAACCTGTTGAAAAAATAACATGGTTTCACAATAATTACGTGTTAATACCTCAATTAATTCTAATTTATTAGGAAACTGGAGGGAACTCGGAGTTTGCATACTTAGTTATGTCATATCGTGCATAAATTATACAATGGGCTAATTACACATTACTCTGCTTGGCAAAGCAGACTAATTTCTCATCCAATTTTCAATCAAATTTAACCAAATTTAATCAATTTGTCCTTGGCAATGTCCATTAGTCCCACAAACTTTCGTATTAATATGTTTGATAGTTAATTTTGAGTCACACACAGACAAACATACATGCAAACGCGGATGGAAAACATAACCTTGCAGAGTTAATCATATTTCTATTGAGTATTGTATATTTTTTCAAAACAGTATATTTTTTAAATTTGTTTTTACACATACTACATTAGTCATTAATACTCGCCCATCTACGAAATATGTTACATGAACAATTGTCAAAAGAGAAAATATAAAGGAAAACTCCGATTTTTGTTCATCGTGGGATGTAGCTTATTTTCGCCACAAAGCTAAGATTGCATGGTTGCACGGAATACAGGACCTTTGCTAGTATATAGACGTAATAGACCGCGCTGTGGTAGCATTAGTTTGAAAGAATAATTTGTCTTTACGGCTATTGGCATTGCTAATATTACCTAACTTTCTTTTGAGATGTTTCATGTAAATTCACTGACTATAATATATAGTGCTATACTTTTCTTAGACTTATTTAAAGAGAAGAATACTAATGTTCCCATGCATGCAATGCATTCTAACTTCCCAAAGGGCAAACTCATAATATGTCAGACGATTTATAAGACTTATAGTTTTTTGTTTAGTTATATTCGAGTTTTCGAAGAGTATAGCAATTTCAAATATTCTTATTTATGCTAGAAGTTTGCCATTTTGAGAGGCCTTAAAGCTGTTTGCCGAGATATTGGATGCATGTTTTTAACTTTTTGACACACTTGCGAAACGGCATTCCTCGCGCGCTCTGTGTAGGCCGTGGGTGGCAGCGGTGGCCGACTGACTGTTTCAAAAGTACTTTGTTTTTGCTAAAACACGTGCGAGACAAATACTAAATTCCAACTAACATTTCCATATAAATACCGACAAACTAGTGCTTCAACGTAAGCATGTTCGCCAAAAGCATTCTTTTTTCAAAGCTACAAAGGTGTTAGTGAAAATTATGCAGTTAGTCTACCTGTCGACTAGATGTCGTTCTTTTTAACTTCAAAATGTTCGACAAAATTGTTTTCAAAGATATTTTTAAAGTTTATGTACTTCAATTAAGTTCAATTTAGGAAATGTTTTATCTCAAGAAGGATAGTTCTTTGACCATTTCAAAAGCTCTTTCTTTGACGCTATGCGTTTCTCTTGAAGTTTTAGACATTCTCAGACTAAAAGTTCCTTCATTAAATTTGCCGCCCTTAACCCTGCCGCCATATATTGGAATCTCTTTGTATTAGTTTTGCCTTTTAGGTCTGCATATTTATGTTATTTGAACCAGAAAGGTCTCTTTTATACGACTCGTACTTTAATAATCGATCTTCGTGATCTAAATTTAATGATGAAAGATTGGTCTTTATATACAATTCTTATAAGTATTTTCTTGTAGAAGCACATACTCTTAGCTTATCTCATTATAAAGCCAGTTAATTAAGTAAAATTTAATTATGTCATTAACATAAAAAACGGTAGACAGTCGGGCTCGGTTGTTCACTTGTATACACTTTTATACAAAAAGTTTTTTATTTTAATTTTAACATCAGATGGTGTTATAATAAGAGCTGCATACTTGTATAGTTATGTCACTTGTATTCTATATTTACTCCAAACACGAGTTTCTGCACTTTTGTAAGGCTTTTAGGTAACCCTATAAGAGGCGTGTCGACTGTCGACGCGCTATAGTTTAGGCAGCGATGAAATGTAGGAAATTCTAACAACGTTGGCTCTTTCGCATGTTTCAAGATCGCTACGACAATTAAGTGCTGACAATTAGGATACTATTATTTCCCCTTGACTGTTACAGAGTTTTGAAAAATACTATTGCTGACGTCAGCATTATTTTCAAAACTGTTAAATCTATAAAACACAATTTAGTTTTAAAATGCTTGGTTATGGGTTAATAAGTGATGTCTTATCGACCCTCAATAGGATTGAAATATTTTGTGTTGAAATTAGGCTTCAATTGAATTCTTGCTTTGTTGGTCTCCATGCATTGTATATAACAGCCTTTGAAAATCATGCTGACAACAGCAATAATATTTTTCGAAATTCTGTAACTCGTGGGATGTAGCTACTCAAACGTTTTGATGAATACTCTGATATTAACGATATGCGGAATATATAAAAAAGAGTCATCTTTGTGGCCTCAATATTAGAATTTCGTTGACGTTTACACGCGATGTATATATTCTTTAGTCTTACACTGGAAAAAGATAGTGAATTCATACCGACTATGGAATTCGCGATTGCGTCACTAAATGCATACTAATTCTGTGTTTGACTATTAGACCATAGGCTTAGTAAAAATTTATTTTAATCACAATTAACTCCATCTTCTGGTTAAAAGTGACTAAAGATATAAAAAAACCCTTTAAAAACAGTTACAAATTTAGACAAATCCGTGACAAAAACGCAAAATTACTAAAAATGTGGCTCAGAGAAATTTCCGTCATACAAGATTTAAATGCATAGGCGTAGCCCCATACTATTTCCATATATATTTTCCATATCCATATAATAGTATGGAAATTGCAATTAGTATATGGAAAACTATTTTCAACTAAGATCCATGCATACTATTTCCATAGTTAAGGATTTAGAGGGGGTTAAAGCATTGTCGTGTATCATAAATATGCAGTTTCATTCTGTGAGAATTATTAAACGGATACATCATTTGCTTGCGAAATTTGCGGTTATATTATGGTTACAGTTCCCCATTCCATTTTCTTTAAACCTCCCACGAAACAAGCGAAGCCAAGGCCTGGCCAGGAAGATAACCCTTCAAGATGACCTATGTCTCCTTATTTGTCAACATGCATCATACCAAAATTATATGGGAAATTTCTTGAAACATTTTTATTCCATGCACAGATTGCCAACAAATTTCCATGGTAACGGATACTGTTAAACTTCGTACAACTGGCCAACATAACGCTTCCTTTTGGCTCTCACATTTCTGTGGGTGGCTCTGCAAGGGACATTATGGAATGTGGAATGGTGTGGGTAACCTCCTTATAAGCTTATAGTATATCCTTTCATTTACCAAGGGAGTCATTGAATGTCCGGTCACATAATGAAAAGATTACGTGATGCAATGTTTTGCATGCGTTGGAACTAAACTGACCTTATTTACTGGACAGCTCTATTAGATCTAATTGTTCACCTTATAGAGGTCCTCTAATTAAGAGCCATCATTTACTCGTCTAGTATTACTACAGGAGGAAACCTAAACTAAACTAACTTCTGAATCATTTATGCCGGCTAACTCTACCAGTTCTAAACTGTTTTCCCTTGGAGATCCCATATGATCATCGGAATTGTTGTCCCAGTATCAATATACCTCAACTGAACTAACTTTATTTATATAACATCTTCCTAGAGCCTAGAGGTCCTACATGTTTGGATCGCCTCGTAATGGTCTCGTACTGGATAGAGGTCCAGTAAGCATCATATACCTTATTGTCCCTGCAGTGTTATAACAGGATGAAATTTGAAGTATTTATAAGCTAACTATATTTATGGGAAGGCCTATTAGTTCTAAACTGTTCTTCCTATGGCTAGAGCTCCAGTAAGAGCCATGCCATATTGGCATATTGCTCCAGAGAAAACCTTGCGGTCCTAACCTGTAACTTTATTTATACTGCATGATATTAGCTCTAAACTGTTCGTAAAATGGGGATCTACCGTAGCTATATATGCAGTCTTTATAGAGAGTCGATTTCCAGGTTGTTATGAGAGACTATAGGGAGAGTTGTAGGGGAATGTTGCAGAATGCTATATATTGGCAGACCTATATATGTAAAGGAGGTTGATGCTATAGTTTGCCAAAGATTGTAGATGTTGCCAAAGGAAGAGTTGTCGATGCCGTAACAAAAATGTCGGCCTCTTGTAAAACTTTTAACAGTATCCGACAATATGGTGGGAATTTCAAAAAAAATTCCTGTATAGTTTTGGCTTAATGTTGACAAATAATTAAGGAGCTTAGGTCACCTTAATTGATGGACATTCCCTCGCTTGGAATGGACAGCCTGCTGACTTTTAAGTATATTATGGGCATTGTCTTGTCTGTTTTGTGGGTAGAGCGGTGTGTTAAAAAATGTTATATAGAACTGACATTCAGCTAAAAATTCTAGATCATTTAAGTCTTTCAATGATTGTCCCCTAACTTGTATTAGGGAGCTTAAAGGTACGTTTACATGGTGCGATTTGTCGGGCCGATTTTGCTCGCTGTATGTAAAAAACCTGTCGTGAGTACTCGCGTCAGCGCCTTGCGATTCACAAAATCGTGAGAAAAATCTGTAACAAAACACAGATTTTTCTCACGATTCAACGATTTTTCTTCCGTTGTAAAATTGTCGAAAACTTTTCGCACGCAGAAAATATAATATAAACAGACGAGAGAGCGGACAGCTTCAATTGAACGTTTAAATCGCTAAATGTCGGGAGCAACGATTATTTACCAAAATCGGCCCGACAAATCGCAGCGTGTAAACGTAGCTTAACATATACACCAAATCTTCGACGCGGACGTGACGGAAAACTGCCGCTATTTATTATCACAGTTTCACTTCACGGGTAAAAACTATGGATTGTTGTTGGTAAACAAAGCCAGGAACACGAGAAAAACAAAGTAAAACTGGTCCCATTATTAGCGACTGTGAAGTAAAACTAGTCTCCCATTACTAGCGACTGTTTTTAGTCGCGTCCGAGTCGCAGATTTGGTGCATCTTAAGCTATTGTCTTGTTTGGGGGTGGATGGGTGGGGTGGGGATGTCGTAGGAACTATGTAACGAGTCTGTGGTATAGAAATTATTATATTTAGATGATTATCTAATTGTATAAAGGTCACCTTGAATGGTTGTTCCCTAATGCTTGGCTGTCCTTGTTTTGTGGGAGGTAAACACCTATCCTTTTAAAGGGATATGGTGGTATGGGGAAGTACAGCCAATGTCGCGAAACTAAAGCCCATTTTCCACTAGGCGAATTTGTTCGCGCGAACAGTAAAGTAGGAACTGATCCAACTTTTTCGCGGCTAATTTTTCCGCTGACCATTCACATTGCCAAGATTTATTTTTCGCTTCGCGCGAACAAATTCGCCTAGTTGAAAATGAGTTGCATCCCGTTCAAAATTCACATAGTCATAGGATACATGAGACTGCATATATTAAAGGTCCGGACGCGATTCGACAACGTGACGCAATTTTTCGATTTTCGCTGACCGATAACTTTGATTCTAGTTTATATTTTCCAAATATTTAGAAGCGGTATAACATTTTGAGTTATTTGGTCCACATATCTTTCAAAATCAGGTTTTATTAACTTTCAAAAACTAAAAAATCGCGTAGTCGCGTTCACGAATCGCGTCCGGTGTGTCTGGACCTTTACGATGCATAAACCTAGTTATAATAAAATTTCAGTCAGATTTAGTTTCATTTTATTATTTATGGCTTTGTCTATACTATACATTCTCCTTTTATTATTATTACCACTGGTGGAAACCTATGCGGTAAACCTAACCTAACTTTATTGATACTGCATGAGAGCTATATAATCACTATACAAATCAATTATAAATTGTTGTCTCTATATAGAGATCCAGTTATAGGGTCACCGCTATATTACTCCAGTTTTTCTACTATATAGGAGGAAAACTATATAACTAAACTAACTTCATGTATACTAGATAGATGTGTAGTTATAAACTGTTATCTCTAGTGGTCTATCGAGGGTCATCCTTTCAATGTTAATTGTTGCAGAAGGAAACCTAAACCGAACTAACTATACTTTTTTGGATAGCTAGTCTGCAGGACCAGGACTCAGGAGGAAACCTAAATTGGCTATAACGTCATTTATACTAAATAGCTTTATCAGAGTTCCAAACTGTTCTCCTAGAGATCCAGTAAGGATCGAGGTAAGGATGATCGTTGGTTCAGTGATACCATGCACTTGCATAGTTCAATTTATATAATCTTTATTCTATATAACTTAATGATTAATCTTTGGTATGGCTCTATCTGCAGTTCCGTCTAATTCCGCCGCTCTCCATGCACAGAGGGGTACAGTATTCAGTAAGAGCTATCCATGACTAGCCACACCATAATGAAACACACCCTTGCAAAACATAACATACATGCAGGGTCTTCTAAAAAAAATGCAAACGCTATTTTCCAGATTTTACACAATTGTTAGCAGGCATCGAAAATTCTATCTAAGGACTAAGAGATGAATTTTGGCACTATTCTGATAAGATTGAATTGGCCTAGTAGAACCACTGTGATGGGGACTGCGAGCAGGCTAATGTTATGGCTGTTTTAAAATAAACGGTACGTCTGGTTATTGAACCGTGCATTGTGTTATAAATATCAATCGGTTTGATGATCCCTTATCTTTAAACACCCATATAACGTTGGTTGTACTATAATACTAGCCTACTTTAGTAATAATCTTAGACTTAGTGTCAAAATTCATTCATCACTGATTGTGTATAGCTGCATGGAAATTAAAAGATTATGATGGGATTTTCTTGGCAATATTATCATACCAAAACCTCCTAAAATATCTCTTTACAGATTTTTATAATTAGATTTATAAATCGTGCTTCAGATTTTTCTGGAATTCCTGAACAAGGGTCAGGCATTTAATGTATATAGTAGCAATTATGATTGATTGTACTAGAACTGATTATCGAGATAAAAACATTCTATTCAGCACTGATATAATCATGAGTATTTTAAAACTGACCACGCCATTTCCAATATATGAAAATTGTATGTCATGATTTTATGCATGCATAGTTTTTTATAAATGTAATCCGTTTAAAAGAGCTCAACAAGTCAAAGTGCCTCGATCATCAGGCCTCGCGCGACAAGCAGTCTGACCCTTCCCCACAGCAAAGAATTTCTTTTTGAGGGTGACATTTTTACATTTCCTATCATAATATAATTAAACATTTAACCCATGCCCATGGTTACTGAATAATTACCCTACATGGACTGATATTGCTATAATTTAAATTAAAAGTACCATTTTGTCACATGCCAACTGCATGACTTACTTCAATATTGAACTGACTTTGTTGTTTGTTTATACAAACTTTATATCTCTGTCAGATTTAAACTGTTCTCTCTAGACTAGAAGTCCAATAAGAGTCATCCCATGAAATATAACTAAATTTACCTTATTCCTACACAGAATATCAATTGAAGCTTTAAGCTGCTCTCCCTGGAGGTCGATTATAATGGCCACCTTTTAATTGCGGCCTAAACCACAAAGCGAATGTTTACCATAATTTAGTCCAATTTTCTATATTGATCATTGGACTTGCATGAATCATTTTTTTAACTGTTCATTATTTTTAATGGTGGGCCTATACAAGTTCACAGGAAAAATTAAACATATAATTGCATATCAATACTTTTATTGAAGGAATATATATTATGTGCTATAGTAAAAATTAGTAAAGATTATTTACTAATGCTGGCATTTTTAAATATTTTGACTGGCAAAGAACGCGCAAATAATAATTTAGCAACTTTATTTTGATTAGTAGCTACCATTCATATCATGCAGTTACATCAATTTTCGCATTAGGGCGAATTGCGGCTTAATTAATGAGTTGACTGTAAGTCCCATCCAAGAGACCCTATTCGAAATACTATAGAGTCTAGATATACGTTTTCAAACACTGAAAAATTATGATCAAACAGAAGTGAATAACGAATATTTCTTTGACCGCGGTAAAAATCACGAAATGTAATTACCCAAACCGCACATTTCCTCAGTTTGCCAAGCTTGTGCGTCATAGACCCTAGTTTGACGTCAATAGCTGAGTTTATATACAGACCTCATGTCGCACATATTCCTTGAAAAATACATACCCTGCCATTTTTTGAGTATTAGTTTTGAATAAATAACCCAACGCCTTGATGCTAAAAATGGCATTGTAATGTTTCTTGTTTACTGACATTCTTATCACTTTTTCAAAGCGAACGCACGAAAACTTAAAATACTTTAAAACTGTTACCAAACTTATAGAATTTGCATAGGCTATCAATATCTCATTGTATTGGTTCTGTATGTTGGCCGAAAAATGATACATGTATATATATTTAATCCAAGAAGTAATCTGAGCGCGCTAACGCATGCTGGGATGGCATTTATTAGAATGAATGTTGCGGTTAATTAAAGTTGCCATAACTATTAGTTCGGTAACAGCATGATTTTTTAAATATATTTTTGTTCAATGTTTTGACAACCAGAAGTTGAATAACAACACACAAACACACACACATTTATACTGTGTAGCCCTATCTGTTCTAAACTGTTCTTCCTATAGAGTTCCAGTGAGGGTAATCCCTTATTGATCCAGTGTTACTAACATGCAATATAAACGCCATTTTCTAGAGGCATTTTGCTGCAACTTGCACAACGCAATAGACTTTGATGTTTCTTTTTTTGGTCGTTCTGTGCCAGTGTAGATAATGCCAATAATGAGAAAGCTTCGGATTAACCTCGTTTCCAACATGAAGGTTATATTCCATGTTTCGTGCCCCAATATGTTTCTCTTTAATTTTGGGCCCAATCACAACCCTATTGTGGATGGAACATAAGAAAATAACCGCGAAAATATGCTTTGAAAAACTTTTTAGATGGGATTTTAAGATGGAACGAATATTTATAGACAATTTTGAAAAACGTTGTTGATGGGATTTTAAGATGGAGCGAATATTTATAATTATAGACAATTTTTACCAGCTCCCCAAAATCTTGATGTTCCCAAAACCTTGTTATTTACCTATAATTCTGAAAAACCTTACATTTTTGACAGATATATATATATACACCGAACAAGTATATCATAAAGTTGACTCAAGCGGTCAGATACGAATTGAACTTGCGCATTGAATTCGGTGTCATCAGGTGACAAAGTTGTGCGACTGATAACAAATGCAGATTCGTGTTCAAACGCACGAGAAATATCTCGTGCGTACGAGAAATATCTCGTGCGTTTGAAGACAAATATACATTTGTGCTTCATTGCATGACTCTGTCACCTGATGACTATAAAGGTTATTTTAATTAATGCGAACTGACCTATTTCGTCGGCGTACGAGAAATATCTCGTGCGTTTGGAGACGAATATGCATTTGTGCTTAGTTGCATGACTCTGTCTCCTGATGACTAAGGTTATTTTAATATGCAAACTGACCTCAGTGGTGGAAATAAGCAATAAATTTTGGTGTCATGCTGTGGTCTATGTTATTTCCTTTCCATGCATGTCAAATCCGATGCTTGAGAAAAACTAACAGCAAATTTCCTTGCGGAAATCACATCGCCCTATGTAGGAGTGTTGACATGAGAAATGATCTCAAAGGAAATGTACGAGAATACAAAATGCATGATGAGCTGTTAATTAATCCCGTACAAGTCACGGAGTTTATGAAATGATCGCGTCTCGAGGATAAACAATCGAGGGTTTGCGGGGGTGGCAGTGCATAAGTCTTTCAGCTCTAGTTGGAATCGGGGTTCGATTCCCTGCAATATGCATTGTCTGATTATAATTTCACCTTTGTCCTCATCTGCATGACACTCTACCAGTCGTGTAGAACTGAAACGATAAGGGGGCTTCAAAGGGGGTGACAAGACCTGAAGGGTGCAACATGATAAATACATCTAGTACTTCATTTTGGCTCTAGCAATTCTTCAATTAGTGTCTTTTGAAGGTATTATTCAACTCTAAAAAGGCTCCGATATGTCACGTAAATGATGCAAATTTTCACACTAATCCGTTTTCAAATCCTTCGTTTTTGATATTCAGGGAGAACGCGTACAAATATCTGTGTCCACACTGTCACTGTGTTTTCGGATTGTTGACTACGGTCAACACTTAGAAACTGACGATTTTCGAGATTTATTTATTAATTTCGTTGTTAATTAATTACAGGAAGACCAAGAGGAAATCTTCAGGGAAAGAGGCAATTTCTAATATTGTCCGTCGAGATCTGTCCTAAAATCGTCGCTGATAATGACAAAGATCGAAAATAACCCAGTACAGTGTCGGTGTGCAGCATCGTGTTGTCTTTTGCAAACTATTGCAGCATTGCTTCACATTAATGACGAATATACCCAGTTTTAGACAAGCAATTCAGCACGTACGCAACGCATGATTGTGCTCATGACGTTGTCGTCATTGGAAACCTTCGTGTCGCCCCTGCCGACACAAAGTCGTTTTCGAAAAGCTCCGTTCTCACGAGTGAAAATATCCGTTTTCCATCGTATCCTGGAGTTTTAGATTTGGCTACGAGTACGAGATTCATTTATTTGGGTATGCCATATTCTTACGCCATCATGCACACCCACGACAACGTAAGTGAGTTGTGTGCTTGATTTACACAGTACAACTCAAGTTGTAAGCAGGTTGGATGCGACAGTTTTAGGCAAAGGTTGTGTAGTGTAAATCAGCCTTCACAATCTCGTAGCCGTCGCCCAATGGACCATTTGCATTATATAGACTAAATTTTGATCTAAACAAGTCTAGACAAAAATTTCATCACAGCTTGAAAGAGCATCACAAAATTAGTGAATATTCCAAAGTTTCGTTGCGAAATGTTGTAAAATGCGGATAATATAACCTTGCGAAGTTTGCCGTTTTTCAGTCATTTTGCATTACGCGGGGGAAATTGACAGCCCGATACCCTTTGGGGCTGTCAATTTCCCGTTTGTATAATACAAAATGACTGAAAAACGGCAAACTTCGCAAGCTATATTATCCGCATTTTACAACATTTCGCAACGAAACTTTGGAATATTACTAATTTTGTGATGCTCTTTCAAGCTGTGATGAAATTTTTGTCTAGACTTGTTTTGATCAAAATTTAGTCTACAAATATAATGCAAATGGTCCATATTGATAATGGGATTTTTTAAAAGCTTCGTAGCGAAACATACATCTACCACGAGATTATTATAGCGTGAGTACGAATAGCGTATGGGAGTATTTATATTTAATTAAACAAATTCCTATCTCAACATTGATATGATGACAATTAATACATTGTACCGAGACGGGAAGGCCTGCCAAATTTGCCTGATTTCAAGTAGAATCTGCCCGACTAGGCACCGACTGGTGAAGGCTGCTCTAGCTAACTTGGGGGGGGGGAGGCTCCTCCTTTCGGTGGTAACACTGAAGGCTCATGCAAGCAGTGAGATTTGGCACTCGCTGGACAGTTTAGAGTTGAATGTGTGTATGCATGCATATTTTGCCCAAAGGTATAAAAACAAGTTAAACAAACATATCAATCCCTAATAAAGATAAATACGAGTTAATCCCTGACTTAAGTTATCAGTTGACGAGTATAAGTTATTGAAGCATGCATAATTCATAAATGATCTTTTAGTATGATTACTGTGAGTGGCGATCTTGAATTATAACACTGTATCCTTTAGGGCTGACTGTAGGGAAATTACTCATACTTTCTAAACGTTGTAATGAAATTGCACAAGGTAGCATATAATGCTGCCCCTATATTTATCTATTATCGCAGATTTCGTGCAATTATGTGAATTTAGGCATTCCAAAACAAATTACCCGACATTAAAATATACTCGACCAGCCTGTAATGGAGCAGTTGCCCAACCAATTATTGTCTTCAAGAGGAGGGTTCTTATTATAATATTGTATATATACTGTATAGTATACAAAGTAGTCCTATACTGTTCGTAAAAAAAACATGCTAATGATCGCGGATAAAATTACCAACATTTCTCGATCTTAATTAAACTGATTAATTATCAACCCGCTAGCGATTACCCAACACAACATGGAACTTTCGTCGCTTCTGTTGGAGATTGATCGTTGTCAATTTACACTAGGGAGGAGAACTTTTCATAGGTTATTTAATTATTGTGGATTCATACAAGTCAATTTAGGGGAGATTGTTGATGAATATTGCCAAGGGGGTGCGCGTAAATTTGAATTGAATCACAGGGGGTCAATAAACTCTGCAATGGTCTTAGTAAAATAAACGAGTGTATAAAAGGTTTTCTATAGAAAAATTATTGAAGACTTTGACCCTTAAATAGATATACTTTTTATATATAGATAGCTTGTCATTGAACCGTTTCTCCTATAGAAGTTCAGGCTCTGAACTGTTCTTAATTCTAATGTAACCACGTATATTTAAGGGACTGAACTTGTCGTGTATTATCCGTTGTATGAATTCAATGCAGTTTTAGGAGGTTAAGACAGAGGTTTATAGACTAGCCAGTTTGCCGAGTACCATGATCCATGCATGCACTGCTCGCGGCTTGAAACGCAGCCAGCCTTTATACAAGGCGTAAAAATCATTGGTTTGCTGCTCGGTAAACAGCGAAGACGACATCTAAAACAGACTTTTAATTGTTCATTTATTTTCCATACTTGTATTAATAGCCGTCGCCTATTACCCAGATGCCTATTACCTAGCTACGAAGATATCGGCAACCTGCATTCATTCAAGCAACCATCAGTGCAAGCAACTTCTAGAATCGTGGAGACAGCAGTAAATCATGCTTTGTCACCATTAAGTTGACAAAGCATTAAAGGCACGGCTCTTCCTGTGAATATCAAATATTTATCAAAGTCTAATTCTTAATTTCTTTGTTTGAACAATTCCCCCCAAAGGCAAGGAGAAGTTCCTACGCACATCAATTTAACTTATCTACACATACATCTAAGTTATGACTTTTATCTGAATTGCAGTGGTGATTGTTATATCCAATACCTTCCTTCCTCGAAGTGTTGTTGTTTCGCGGAGGACACGCGAGGGGGCGTGGCCGGCCGGAAATTGACGTTCTGTAATCGGAAATGTCCCATTAAGTTTGAAGCAGGAGTTGGCAGGTTTATTTTTATCGCGATGCAGTCCTGCTGATTTGAACTTTGCATTGAGAGATTACCTGATTATTATCATGTTATGATCAATCTGTGCAACCATTGCGGGAGACCCTTAATACATGTGGTTTTCTGTGCAAATATACCTGAATAACACGAGATTACGTGATATACGCTGACTCTGCCATCAAATGCCATAAAATTGTTTTTCTTGTTTCGAAGAACAATTCTCTTATGTGGAATCGAAACTCTGCACATCCTCTAAGACTCTGAGTCGTAACGAAATTATTTCCTGCACTAGGTTTAGTGTTCCCGAAGATGCGTGTTCGAATCCTGCTTAAGACAACGAAGATTTCGTATAGTCAGAATTAACATTAAACGTTTTTTAACACTGCACTAACTTTTGTAAGAACATTCATAAAAACAAGATCTTTGTGATTGCATTGTGTGGGTGGAATTGCTAATACGTTTTTGGTGATTCCCTTGCATAATAAAAAGTCTTCGTAATAATTATATGCACTGCAAGCCTTCAATGTTATTTACAGTTTGCGCAGTTCTGACCCGTGGTTTTTAAACAAAACAATGATGATCACAACTGAGAACCAGAACCATATCACGGAGCTGATACTTATTTATAAGCCAGTCTATACATAGGAAACGAAGGTAATTCCTAATTCAGAGCCATTATCACCTGGGGGAAATTATACAGTGTTTGTCTACAGTAAAATCCTAACACTTTATAGTTAAGGACCGAACATTTATATGAAAACTAGTTTCATATTAATCTGACACTGCAATCGAGCAACGAAAAATTCGTTGGCTCGAGCGGGATTTGAACTCGCATCTTCGGGTATCTAGACCGCCGCTCTACCTATTGAGCTATCGAGTCAACAGGGATTGGTAGCGAGTCTTATCCAATTTAAGTGCACGAAATATTTTCGTGACGACTTAACGCTTGTCTGTGAGGACGCGCAGTGTTTCAATTCGTGCACTTAAATTGGATAAGACTCGCTACCAATCCCTGTTGACTCGATAGCTCAATAGGTAGAGCGGCGGTCTAGATACCCGAAGATGCGAGTTCAAATCCCGCTCGAGCCAACGAATTTTTCGTTGCTCGATTGCAGTGTCAGATTAATATGAAACTAGTTTTCCTATCTCTGAGGATGGTTCTGAAATAGAACATTTATATGGTCAGTTATATTGCATGCATTAATGTATACTATAATGTTGAAACAGTAAAAAAGGAATATGCTGTATGACACCAAACACTGGCACAGATTTTTGGGTTTGAGCCCGTTTGAAGCCACACACCCCTACGAGTTCGTTTGCCGTCATGGTATAGCGTTGCCGTCTATATTATGCTTAAGTTAGCTATTATTAATCAGTGACCTATATTATGCTTAAGTTAGCTATTATTAATCAGTGACCTATATTATGCTTAAGTTAGCTATTATTAATCAGTGACCTATATTATGCTTAAGTTAGCTATTATTAGGCAGTTGACTCGAGATAGGTTTGATTGGGTTTTCTCTGGGTTTACTTCGATTTCCGCCGACAACTTAAGGAAACATTGACAGGGTGTCAATATTCAGGTGTGTCAACGTATGATTCGCGATCCCCTCGTTACGCATATAACTGTACATTATTTGGTAAAAAATCAAGGAAGTTCAATCAAGTTCAGGATTGCTTGTCAAAAAAACAAAGAATTTCAATGACGCACTTTTTATTATTTAGGAAGTTATGACCTTCGCTGAATTGTTTAACCATGCCATACTTTATTATCGTTAGTATAATGTTATGATTTCATGAGGTAAGGCATGTTCAAAATAGTTCATTCAAGTCATGATTTTAGATAAAAGAACGTAAAATCGGACGCACTTTTAGTGCATTTAGGAAGTTATAACCTTCGTCCAATTGTTTAATCATGCGATACTTCACATCATCATACTAATGTTTTGATTTTACGACTGGAGGTGTGTTTCAAAATAGCCATTGTTGTTTTTGTTTGCGAGCACTTGTAACATCAGCGCTATTCTATAAATATACTTAATCATTAATGTCAGGAAATTTGAACAATTTCCAGATACCTACGTACACTTGAAATTGCTTTATAATTGCTTCATCATGCATTATTAAATTATCAATTTGACGTTGCCCAGCTGATGCTTAACTTGTATCATGCAGTTGCGAAGAGCACTTCCAGTTTGACTCTACCAAACACCGACTTTCTCCTGTCTATTTTAATTTCCCCTTGCAGGCGAGGGGGTTCACTCCAAAAACCTCGAAATAAAATCCCTAACAAATTCCTGAAAGTCTTTATCAAATCTTTAAACTCTCTATACCAATCCCAAACAATCCCTCCCCCAAAAAATCCAAAGAAAACCCCTAAAAATTTCACAGGATTTTCTAATCCCTCGTCGCAACACACTTTCCGGTGATATTTATCACATGTATTGAGCACATGAACTGATAAATTATACACTGGGATGTAAATAGTTTACATAAGCACCGGTCAGTATATTAATGCAGTTGTCAACATGGACCGGAGGATTTTATGCCAAAGTGCAGAATTGATGTGACAATCGTAATGAATATGAATTTTAATTATCACGTGGAATTTAAAATCTAGTTTAATATACTAGGTTAATACTATGGCAATTGATACACCAGGCGGAAATCTTAGTTTAAAGATAAAGAGCAAAGCCCAGCAAATAACTTTAAAACCAAACATAATAAAAGTAAAAAATTTAATTAGCTAACGTTTCGTTGTTTACAATACAACATCTTCAGAGCAATCTAAATGAATTTACAGGGTATGGTATATATATTTACAAAATAATGGTTTACTATTACAAAAACGGTTACAAAATTTGAAAGAACAAATGAATAGAAAGGAAAACAACTTATCAGTGACAAGTAAATTGTTACTTGTTACTGATAAGTTGTTTTCCTTTCTATTCATTTGTTCTTTCAAATTTTGTAACCGTTTTTGTAATAGTAAACCATTATTTTGTAAATATATATACCATACCCTGTAAATTCATTTAGATTGCTCTGAAGATGTTGTATTGTAAACAACGAAACGTTAGCTAATTAAATTTTTTACTTTTATTATGTTTGGTTTTGAAGTTATTTGCTGGGCTTTGCTCTTTATCTTTAAACTAGGTTAATACTACATACAACATCAGATAACTTCGGGGTGCTCAGATTAAAAAAGATGATTATCTCTGTAGGTCCGTGACAATAATAACTCATCAGCATGCTGCGTACAACATCTGATCACTTTAGGGAAGCTCACATTTAAGAACATGTACTACCTCAGCATGATCTAACGGAACCCTGCTCAACATTGAGTTCTGTGCAATATCAGATCCACTTTAGGGTACTGTAGCTCACATTCAAGAACATGTTATCATGCATGTACAGATGTACTACCCGCATGATCTAACCAAGACTCAGAAGCGAATTACTGCTATACAACATCAGATCATTTTAGGGTACTCAATAGCTCACATTCAAGAACAACATTGAAGAACCGATGCAGTACCTCTGCATAAGCCATAGGTCTGCATAATCTAACTCATGCAGCGGCGAGTTCTGTAAAACTATTTGTGGCTCAGAGAGACATATAATTCTGCTCGCTTGCGTTCTGTACAACATCCACATCAGATTATCAACTAATCCACATTCACGAATTCTACATCTAGTAATAACCTAACAAATGTCATACAAAAACAGCGGGAAACGAGCGGTACGGTTAGTTTGCGGTTTTACCGCATATTTCTAGCGGTTTTTAAGGCTATTATAATGCGCGGCAAATCCATGGCCAATGCATGCACTAAACACCGCTGGCACATCATACTTTTACCGCGAATTTGAATATTTTGTTTGCCATGCGTTTTTTATGAGCTTGCAAAGCTAAATACTGTAAGCTATATGTACATGTATATTAAAAGGTTTTATCGTAACAATATATATTAGATTTCCGCGGGAGAATGCCATGCTTAAAACTATCACTACAAAATCTCAAAATTAAACCAAACTAATCTGGCGTATTTATATAATCTCTTGACTCTTTAGTCTGTTTTGCTTAGCTTATGGAAAGACTGTTGTTTACATCTTTAATAAGATCTCGCACATGGTTTATTTCAAAACCCCAGGGATCACCTTAAACATATGTATATCTGTGATGATGGAGTACGATTGCTCATTGGATACGTGATTTTAATAATGTATATGATGACGTATATAACTTGACCTCTGGCTCTGATACTGTTTCCTGGTTGCTGTATCATCAATGTTGATTCATATCTTATACAAGCAGGAAATATTACAGAAATAGACATGAATTGTTAGCATATGAGCTTTTTTACTCTCCTCGACTTAAAGTGTTTCTGATACAGGGATTTGATTCCTACAGTTGTCTGATTGTAATTTCGCCTCACATGTATGATGTTGCGCTTCCTCCTTTACCGAAGATCCGCTATGGAGAACGGTTTGGAACTGATAGAGTTTTCCAATATACAATTTTTTATATTAAATTTAGTTGACCGCGGATTCAGCTTGGACGACTATCTTGAGTATTATATATAATTATGGCAATGTTCCGTTTTTGGATTCAATCTCACCAAAAAGCCTTCGAAATAATTTTGACCTGCAAAGCATTGAGAATTCTCTGCAAAAAGCTATAGTATATATAGCACTATGTCTATGACTTGAAAATCATAATGCCAAATCATCTACTCGTGTTGCCAGTTAATATTTTTAGCCGTAAAATTATTGACTCGGTTTTCAGCTAATATCCGCACCGGACAATTAGTAAAATTACTTGCCTGCTATTGGGAAGTAAATTCGCATCCACGTTCCCTTCTCAGAAAGTTTAAACAACCCGACACGAAAAACAGTGTTGGGTGCAAGGTCGCGCGCGTCATAATTTCGCGCGCGCTTTTAATTTTGTGCTTGTAATGGGGAAAATATGGAAAATAAAAATTATATGATCGCCTAATTCGTAAAAGGACATCGAAAACATAAAATTTAAAGAGTGTTAATTATTACACTGAATTTATAAGCCATCCAAACTGAAAAAAAATCCCAAGCATATAGAATAATTTCTGATGTGCGTTCCGTAAGTGTCTATGAGCATTTTTTGTCAGAATGACAAGCGTTTCGCGCGCGGGTTGAAACATTCTTTTTCGCTCACTTCAGTTGTGCGCATCACAATTGCGATCACACGTTAACTAATTAATGCTTTTGCAACTAACTGCTTTTCCCCCCAAATATATATATATATATATATATATATATATATATATATATATATATATATATATATATATATATATATATATATATATATATATATATATAGTATGTTTTGTGTTGAATGTGTTCAATATATAGACCACAGTAAGACTTTTTTTAAATGTTTATTTCATATAAAGTATAGAGTTTATATAGTATGATTTAATCAATGCCTCAAGCTATTCTCAAGAAACGTTATTCTTTAAACCTAATCTGACATCTCCCATCGATACAGTTAATCACATGAGGATTCAAATGAGGATTAACTTTAAAAGGATCAACAATTTTTTTCATTGTGATTATCCAAGCTAAGCTCAAATGAAAGCAAAGTTAGTAAGATCGTCGGGATAATATCGAAGTTGAACACATTCGGCTGCGTAGGAATAAAATTACAGTCATAACATGTATACTATAGCGGTGACTGGATGAAATAAAAAGGCCGCGTCCTGACACTAATCTAACAAGTACTACTGAGTATTTTATGCGTTTCAGTTCACCGCCGTAATCACCGATCGTCCACGCTAATAGAATGCTTTTTTAAATTATTAATGTGGACGGGCGACAAAACGAAGGTTTTAAAAAATGCAGACGTCACTAGCGCAATCATGCGCAGCGAACTTGCTTTTGTGTTGTTTGCTCAGATTTCAGCTGAGTTGTTTGTCTGGAAATGGATATATTGATCAGTTAATCTGCAAGCAAATGCAAAGCTTACAAAGACAGCGTATTGCTCATTTGCTCTACACTGTCCTGTGGCTGTCTTATTTCTCAATTGATCTCTGTGACATTGCAAAATTACTACGACTCCAAGAGTTCGTATAGAAACCTTGAAAGACCTTCTTTAAATATTCATTGTAGCGTAGCCGTAGGCCTTGAATTTCATAAGTCAAGGTCTTGAAATTTCTTGAATTTATGAACAGTTGCAATTTGAACAGTTTGACGTCGGTTTTACTGTATGGGCAGTAGGTAACAAAATGGCAGTAGAATGATAGTGAATGATAGTAGAATTATCTCGAATATTGTATAACTATAGTCTAATGCTTCGCAATATGAGGATTATTTAAAAATCGGTTTAAAAATCTTATACTATTATTATAGTAAATAATTTTGCCGACAAAGTGAAAGAGTTTGTGTCGTCGTCAGCCGCGTACGCCGTCGTTTTTGTCATTTTGTGCCGGCTGGATGTTATAAACGAGATAAATTTCGACTATTAGCGCTTACAGCAGTTCGCCTCGATACGGTGACCATGCACCTCATGCAAAATGATTATGCGCGTTACAAATCATCGAATTTGCCAGGCTTTGTTCAGTTGTTAATGTCTCTGATATTAAATAGCGACCGGCCTAAATGTGAAAAACAACTATTGCTATCAACCTCAGTTTTCCGTGAGATGGTCGCGTATCATGTAAAACGGCTGTGAATGATCTAAAAATTTTGTTTGAAATTCACGTTCGAAAACTTTCAGTTAAATAGACCTTTCCCCTTATAACCAAAATTTTGATCTAGGCAAGTCTAGACAAATATTTCATCACAGCTTGAAAGAGCATCACAAAATTAGTAATATTCCAAAGTTTCGTTGCAAAATCTTGTAAAATGCGGATAATATAGCCTTGCGAAGTTTGCCGTTTTTCAGTCATTTTGTATTACCACGACGTACGGGAAATTGACAGCCCAATCGGGTGTTGGGGCATCAATTTCCCGTTTGTAATACAAAATGACTGAAAATTGCAAATTTCGCAAGGCTATATTATCCGCATTTTACAAGATTTTGCAACAAAACTTTGGAATATTACTAATTTTGTGATGCTCTTTCAAGCTGTGATGAAATTTTTGTCTAGATCGAAATTTTAGTTATAAGGGGAAAGGTCCATTGTCATGAGTTATATTTATAATGACTGATTTTATCACTACGGTAAATATTTAATTTTTATATGATTAGGTAAGTCATCCCCATATAGGAGGCGTGATAGGTTGAAGGAAGGGAGGGGGGCATATATAAACCACATCAAATTTGGATGATTGGCCTTTCGAACCGGATGAATTCGAGACAACGTTCTTTGCACTGAAACACTTTTGCTGATTTCATCATGTTTAACCGGGGACCTCGCCTGTGTGAGATCCGCATGCCTTCATTGACGCATATAAAATTCAACATGTGTTGCTATGAGAAACGAGCCAGGTGAAATATCACCTTGCGCCAGGTGGATGATGGGTGGATCTCAGTCAAACGGAATAATGTTTTCACTATATGAACACTTAATTCCACCTGACCAGGATCATTTTTGCCGATTTTGACCTATTATATACTATTGAACGACTTAATCGGAAATACAAGCAAAAAATATATAGTAAATTAATAACCCTAAACAGGCACTATTTAAAGTCTAATACAAAGTACCGTTTGTTTAATTGAGTGAACAAAAATGTTTGCAAGACGCCAGTGTTAACGTAATTTCGTCCCACCGACGCGGAATATTTATTATGTGGGATTGAAAACAGTTATATGAACACACATATCAAATAATTCGTCCCATTCAAGGTGACCTTCCCGGCACACCATGCTCATATTATGAACAAGCCCTTAGTCAGATAAGCCTACGATCCAATTGTGCACGAACATCAGGCTGTATGGACGAATCTATACGTGTTGTACCTGCATCACCGAACAGTTTGTCCCGGTCTTGCGTCTGACTACATGGAAACTGTTGTGTTAGACAGTGTGAAATATACCGCTAAATTCACTTGAGGCCATTTGATAGACTAGAATGCTCAAAATAGGAGCTATGAAGAGACACTCCATTGTATAAAGCCAAACTCCAAATTGAACGTGTCCGCTTTAAAACTTCAAAACTTGTTGAATTAAGAATTTTAAAGTTACATCACAACTCCAAAAATAATGTGGACATGCATATAGTTCAGTGCAAAGTACAAAGTACAGCACAATTCTACCCCCACCCCTCCTCCCCCGCCGCCATCCTTCTCAACACACCTTATCGCACATTCTATGGGATGGGCTTGGCTTGTGCAATCGTAATAGATCAAATATTTACCGTAGTGGTGAATTATGTTGTTAAACATACCTCATAACAACTTGCATGTTTTGAACGCAAATTTCAAACAATTTTTTTAAAAGACCCCTTGAGCGTTCGTCGAGTATTTTCTAAGCACGTTTGAGCAGGTAAGAATGACATAATTTACGGTTTCGAAATCCTCTGGTCACAGCCAATGAAATGGTAGAACTGTATTACGCATTTTACCGTTTTAAACAGAGCCACAGAGCCTATAGCTGGACGATATCTAAAACTCCCTTATCAACTTTCCTTACTTTTGAGCTGCTATTAATCAGCGGATATTGCTCAATTTCGTACAAATTAATGTTGACACCTTCTCTCAATTCTATACATTTACTACCAAATACAAGTGCAGGCTACTATACGTACAAGGAAGAGAATTAACAAAAATTTTCACTCTGACAATCACCTATATTTTCGAAATTACTAGCCCCGTAATATTTTAATTTTTCACCGCATACCTTTGAAACGAGAACGGAAGGGAGATCAGGAAGTTCATTCCACGAACTCAATCAAAACATAAACGCTTTTCAATAATTAAGGATATAATTTTGATATACGCGCTAAAATGCGACATGCAGGGTAATACTGAATCACTTTATATATACTTTATATATAATATATACTTTTATATTTATATGACGCAATATATGCCACTATCATTGTATAAAATGTTTGAAGTGTTGTGTTGTGTTGTGTAACTCATAAAAATAGTTCAGTAAATAAGCTATGTTTTTGAAAAGGACCCAAAATTCCTTTTATGCAAATATGTAAGTCAACAATGTTTTATGTTTATGTACTTAATTCTTAACACACCTCATGAAAGAATTTACTTGCACGCGAACTGCAAAGGTTTTTGTGTTGAGTAGGCGCGCGAATTTGGATTAAAATTCCCAGGTCTATATATAAGCATTTCATCAATAAATGATACTGGAATGCCAAACGCCAGTCGGCCCACAGCCCACTCACTGGCGTATCAAAATATCTGTAAACAGCTCTGTATCTTTAAAAACAAATTCTTTCGCTATATATATCTTTGCTGCAAGAGGGCTCTTTCATATGCGCGAAGGTATTTTTATGATCTGGCCACGAAGTTTGCCAGAAATCTCACCGGCGAATCCTGTCCCAAAGGGCGCTATGTCATATTTCCGCACAAAATATGAGTAAGGATTTTGATATGAGAATGTAGACCCTGTTGGGACTTTTAAAATTAATGTCTTTAAAGTGTATTGATTATAGTATTCAAAGCTGGCATGGGCCATGCTTGCATGTATTGACCTTATATTTGTATTATAATATCTAATACTTTATTATCAATATAAAGTTTACTTCAGTCGTATTTCAGTCAATTTGCATCAATTCGAGTTTCAATTCAGAAATCCGTTCGAACGCTGTACTATCCATATTTTCAAATCCATATTTAAGTGCACAAGACAGTTAACTATATTATATATAGTTACTACGTTTGCGGTTCACAGTATGTAAATGTTCTAAGTAATCAACTTCGACGCAAAAAGTTCTCAATTAGTATATCTTGATAATATTGTGCTTTGCAAATTTATCAGCTTGAAAAAGATGAATGTTTAGACCTTTCCAATTTTTCAGTTGACACATTCGATTGTAAATATTCTGATGAAAGCGATATCGATAGTTTGAACCAGCCTTTATCAATATATAGACATTAGCTAGGACTTGTATACGCGTACATCATGAGAGAAATTCTTCAATAGTCGTTACTCGCCAATAGAATTATACCGGCCGGATGACAGGCACAGCTTTGCCTAGTGTTAGACAGATTAAAATCGTCTGGCCGCTTTAGACAAAGTACAAATATCTGGGGTGGGCAATGTACAGAATGTAGAATTGCCTGGATCGCAGAGGGTTAAATTAGTGTTGAGGACAGAGTTTATTGCAGGTTATAAGATTGTTCGCTGGAACATCAAAATGTATTTCTGAATACTGTAGAGTACGGCGTATATAAAAATATCAGAATCGTATGACATTTAATATAATGAAATCCCTGCATGGCCTTGGCCTTGCATTTATGACTATGAGGAGGTCCAGAGAAATTTGTATATGTTAAAATCAAATGTCCCATGCATGGCCATGTACGTACATAGTCATATAGACCTAACAATTTGGCGGTAACAGCATCAAGCATTAGACATAAATTCTGACATATAATATAAATAAATTCTCACGTAAGTATTATATCATTATCAGCAAATAATCAAATTTCATTAATATATTACAATAACTATATGACCCGGCATAATTTTATATATGAATATATTATAGCCAATATAGGATTAAATAAGTGATTTGTAACTTTGTCGATAAAATGCAAATTCCATACTGATAACATTGAATCCTAATTGTGTTATAAGGATTTAAAAATGAAATATCCTTTTCGGATAACACAAATAAAACAGACAAAATTTTTGGTAAAGTCTAATCAAAAATTAACTATATATATATATATATATATAGGCTAGACCCATATATCAAAGATGAGCTAATATGTATATGTCATGTTCTAATTCATGTAGCTCTGTATATATAGTAAAGTACTGATACCATTTCCATTGGCATTGCATTTGACATTCAACGTTACCATATATAAGTTTTAAATAAAAATTTGATATATGGAATTTAGTTGCGAGAAATCATAGTATGATTTAGCTAATGAGTGTGTGTAAGGGCCTGAATTTAACCATATTAAAGCCCATATGCTCTAACTCAGTATATTAAGCTTCACTAGGTCTGTGTTTGTGACACGCAGCGTTCTCAATTAACCTCAAAACCTCGTTCACACAAAACTCCAAAAATACACAGTCATAAAATTGGCCGGACGCGATAATGTGTCGTGAGATTTTAACTCAAGGGTGTTGAAAGTATGAGGAAATGCTAGCCGTCAAACAGACGCGATTCCTCAATTCACATGCAAGCGAACATTTCGAAGCCGTGAATTTGGCTACTTCCGCTGTCTTAATCTACGGCGTCGGGCTGATCGGTCGTCGCTTGTTACTCTACTTAGCTGCCCATAATTACCCACAGCGTTTCAACACAAAAACACGCCCCCAAACCATGAACACTTTCCAACTTTTTCACAAAAAAATCAAACAAGAATGTATGCGTTGCCTTTTGTTTTGTGCGCCGCCTTCATCCCACCTATGAGTGCAAATCGCGCCTTTCCTTGAGAAAAATCCCGTTAACACCTAAGCGAACACTGAAATTCGCATTCTCACTGTTTTGATAGCTTTAAACGGACCATCTGTAGTTCAGTGTGTAATTTGATCTCCTCTATACGGAGCCTTTCGACTGATAAAAATAATCTTATAGTTTTTAGGGAGAGTCGCTATGGTGCCAGCTTACGTCATGAATTGATATGAGCTTGAAAGTCGTCATGTAGCCAATCAGCGCGCAGAACCTGCTGTCGTCGTGCCAACATTTTCGCAAGGGCCCGCATTATAAGTTCGCAGCTCTAGCCCACGACAAAAACATTGTATCGAACACTTCGAATGCGGAAGGTACACCATAATACTGAGGAATATACAACTTTTATATATAACAAAATGTCTAAGGCATACGAACTTATGTCGCTTGCCCGTAGTAGCGCTGGGTTTTATTCATCAGAGATCGTGCACAATCAAAGTAATTCGATACTGCAGGAATCAGAGAAGAAAAATATGAATTTGAATAAACTTGTAAATTCGTGGTCTGATTGCTCGTCGAATACAAGAATCGACTCGCTTGCGGAGCAAAAGATCAAATCAGAGTTTAAACTCCGAAACACTATGGATGCTCAAAGGGGACGGATGAACGGTACGAAACGTTGGACTGATCAGCTTGGATCGGGTCACGTCGCTCGAGATATGAGTGAGTCCCTTGCAAACAGCGAACCGATGCAGCCGGATCAGAACGAGAAAGGCGAGCATATACGTCGGCCAATGAATAGTTTCATGATTTGGAGTCAACACGAAAGGCGCCGACTCGCTGAAGAGAATCCAGACCTTCACAACGCCGAACTCAGTAAAATCCTTGGTCAAAACTGGCGAGCTCTTACTGTCGAGCAAAAGCGACCATATCTCTTGGAAGCTGAGCGGCTTCGAGTTAAACATATCCAGGACTATCCGAGTTATAAGTACAGGCCGAAACGTCGCAAACATCCTAAACGTGTCTGCAAAAAAGCAATGGTTAAAACGCCGGCGAGTTCAAATGTTGGATTGAAACCAATGTTACAAAATTTACCACTTGCAAATGTGCAACAAAGCTGCGATAACTCTTGCAAGTCACCGAGCGGAACGGCCCCTAAACCGTCTACAAATCTACCCCCGTTCTGTCCACTAACTCCAGAATCGAGTCCAAACATCCAAAAAGAAAATACGGTGTTCAATTTCGACGTATCGAAACACGAGCCGAAACGTATGACATGCGAGTATTCTTTGCCAGCAACTCCACCGACATGCAGTCAAGCGAACGATGACCCTTACCACTTTGCCTCGCTAGACTTTCTAAACACTGAAGACTTTAACTTACAAACCTATATACTTGGAGAGGACATGTCGGTACTAGATCGAGACGAGTTTGATCAGTACTTGGGTCAGGATTAGGACATATCCTGCAGAAACCCTTACCCACGGGAAGATAATTTAATAATGAAACATTTATACTGGCTTTTGCAGCGTATAATGTATTCTAAAAGACTGCAACATACGAGTGGGATACAGATTATTATTCACCGGCACACGGCAGTTGTCCGCGAACAAAACAACCGAACGTTCGAGAATCTTGTACGCGTCGTTGATACAAGGCTGTTATCAGAGAGCGCAAGTGTAAATAGAACATTTCAAAGTGTAAATAGCTTGGGGTATATATATGATATATATATTCGTATCGTTCGTAATGCATGCAAAGTGGTTTTATATAAACGGACAGTTTTATAGAACAATTCGCCGGTTTGTGTAATATCAGTATAGTTGTTCTAAATAGGTTGACTTTGATAGTTTTACCCTTAAATGTATGCGCTTGCTGAGCGAGCCGCATACAAGTAGAACCGCAATCTTTTTGTGTAAGATTTTTTGTACTGTTTCGTCAAACGGCGTTCGCTTTTATCATCTAATGAGAAAGCATTTAGTTTTAAAGCATGTATATATAGTTTAGTTCAAAACTGGGGTTTTTTATTGTCACTTAAAATCGTCCTTTTTTAAGAAATAAAGCGTATTTAAAGTAATTTTATACCACGTTTTATCTTCTCTAATATCTATAGTCTCTAGGCAAGCGATCGTAAACATATAGAGCGCCGATTGAATTACCTCAAGGATTTGTTTTGGCCCCTCAAGGCCTCAAGATTATGCGTATTAGCTTGTGTCATGATTTGCCTTCAATACAGCTGTTCTCTCGTCAAGATTAGCGAGTTCCTAAAAAGGCCATTTGTCCAAGACATCCGGTATAGTGAAAATGATAAAATTCATTTTAGTATCCGTGCTGTGCTGTGGTTTTTGGGTTACGGAAAAGGCAAACTATACACCGCTGCGATCACGCATAAGAATATACGTCAGCTTGGCAATAGGAAATGATACTTTCTTCCGCATTGCACGTCCGTTGTTGTGAGTAAGCTTTTCCGCGCACCAATTTTACATTAAGATTTTAGATTATCTATGGTTTAGGCATAAACGTGATTTTCGAAAGGAACTCGCACGCTTCATGCGCCATGACATAATAATTGCACAAGCGTTTGTTTATTTTGCAACCTTGAATGTCGCTGATCTCAACAAAGTATGCTTCAATCTGATTGGTCAAGTAAACAATTGATTATTGTTTCACACAATGCGATTGTTTCAGATGCACGTCAGTGAATATTACCCAGGGATTAGGCTTGTTACGAAACGTTGCATCCCTGTTGCGCAAAATTAATTTGAAATTTTGTTAGGCCATGTTTGTCGTATTTTGCGGGTTTGTGTGTGTCATGCAAGTACGTGAAAAATATTTATAGGACAAAGTCCGACTTTCGATAGGTACTATCTTCCTATACACGATATGTTTCGCTCAAATTTTTGAAGCTTGTTCTTATTTTTTAAGGTAGCTGTGTCCTGCACAAAAGTCTGAAAATTGTATTCTTCGCTCCGTACAGCGGCACACATCATTCGTGTTTGTTTTAAGTCCATTTCAGCGGCATCAAGTGTTCATATGTGAAGTTTTGCTGATTTGCCAATTGATTTTTGAACAAGTGTTCTTGTCATGAACTATACAAACGAGCGATAAAACTTGTTATGTGAAAACTAGCTTTGATAGTCTTACGATTTTTTAACTTAATTCTGGCGACGTTACACAATATGACAAGTCTGTTAAATTTCAGAGCCATCAACAGAGGACTTTTCTTGCATAGTTAAAACTATAGATTTAAAATTGTGCCTCTCCACCTGACTAATTAACAGCCAACGAGCATTGCACGTTCAAATCCAGCATGATCAAGCAGTGATGGATTTGAAACAATATGCCAATGTGTTCTTCCATTTGACTTGGTAAGTCACTTGTGACATGCAGCGATGAATTTAAGCTTGAGTAAACGTTTTTGTTAACTATATTGATTATAGCATGACATGTTTGCCATTCAAATGACGCACTAACCACAAGATGTAGGTGTTATATGAAGAACAAACAAACATCTTGACCACAAAATCTTATTTACAACCATTTTGGGGTAATTATCTTTCTCTCTAATTAATTAACGTCACGGTGGACTAAACACAAGCGTAGCTTGGGGCCAACTCTGTATATTGTTTTTCTTGACTTGCCAGGACTTGAACGAATGCTGGGATGCGCTTGTCACAGTAATGTGTATGCAAATATAGTTTAATCTCGATTAAGATCGCTTGATGATTTTAGAAGCTATAATCTCGTTTAAACGTTGTTAAAAAATTTAATTTGAGCCATGAGTGATTATGATATTACAAATTTGGCACCGAATGATTTGATTGATTTGCCGTTTCTTGCGCAGAAAATCAATGCTTTATGTGTAAAATTATACTTCCATGAAGAGATTCTATGTGCCAATTGAAAGGGAAAATAATCGAGAAAGAGAAAGTCGCTAAGTCTAAGACTAAGTTGTGCTATATTGCTGTAAATATATGGCGCCAATTCAGTTTCAAAGCGTCATTGATAATTGCATTCTAGTTAACATTGTTCACTATCTCATGATTCTCATCTGACAGATTCTAGTAGCTGCCTTTTTGAATGCATATTAAAGCACAACGTGATTTTGAGAGGTACGCCATAACGATTTCAGGTTTTGAACGCTTTTCATCGCAAACACGCAAAGAAAAAAATTACATGCATGTTATCATTTTTTTTTCAATTTATAAATACTCGTGGTATAAGTGTTCTCTCTAGAGATCCAGGAAGGGCTGATTCCTATAATCAGTTTAGCACTAGTTTCGCCTGGAGGTCCAGTAAGGGCCATCGTTCATTGGTCCAGAATTATCATCTATATATCAGTATAGAATGAAACCTAAACTAAGATTTATTACTTTATACTCGATAGCTCCATATGAGCTTATATAGACTGTTATCATATTATAGGTCCAGTAAGGGCCATTCTTAAAATATCGAACCAGTGTTGGCACAGGATACATGAGTAAAATTAAAATCTAACTTAAATTTATTTACACTGGATAGTTCTATCAGTTCTAAAATGTTCTCACTAGAAGTCCAGTAAGATCCATCTGTTATTGAATGTCACTACGACGCGGGAGGCAAAATTATAAGGCGAGCAAAAACCTGAAGTGTTTGGTCTGTTACCTCGACCTTGTGAGCAATTTCTTCCGTAACGAGAATTTACATATAGAGTTGTATACATATAGGAACTCAAATATACTTTGCAGCACATGTATCGGAACTTGTCGAAATTTGTTATATTGAGTGGGTTTATTCCGACCTCGCTTCCTGTTCAAAAGTAACTTGACCTTCGCTGGCCTGCAAACTCGGTTGTGTTGTCTGGCTTGCTTTCTTTGTGACCCAAAAATTTAATAGTAATTAGTATGCAGCTAGTCAGGTTTTGATAAAATTTTGAAAAGTGTGATCGTGGTATTAAATAGGTGGCGATGAGTGTATTTTATTAGATGGAAACATACATCCTATCGTCTTTACCCGCCCCGGAAAAAACCCATGAAGCAAATCAGATCATGAAAATAGTATAATATTAATATGCTTCATCAACATAAATACCAGTTTTGGCACTATATAATACATAACATAAAAACCACACGAACACTTTTGAAATGATATAGATAACCTATTTTTTAAACTTTCAAAACTTATGGGAATATCATATTAATATTTAGCAACAAGATTCATAAATTGTTTTGTCTGGTATAGCCATAACATACATAAAAAAATCTTGATAATTACATGAAGATGGATTTTGCAAAGATAACTCTGTAATTTATTAATTATTTAATTAGCCGAATCATGTGCACAACGCGTGATTGGACACTCCTCTTGGTTACGGTATATATTGGCATTATACTTTGTATATTAGAAACCATGCAACAAGGAAAATGTTAAGGAAGGGGTATATATGCATGGTCACCTTCACTGACATTGTAATAATGAATTGATGGCACAGTAGTTAAGTCTTGGTCAAAATTGCTCATGCATAAGCGCGTACGAAACAGGCGCATACGAGACAATAGGGTGAGGAGTTTTTGCGACACCTTAACTTAACAAATGGATTCCATACGTGTACCCGTAAATAGTTGTATATTCTATATTTATTGTTTTAACATTAGCTTTATTTCCGAGCGTCTGTATACTGACTAGGAGAATTGTATAGGTTTTCTGGTATATTGAGCCAGTCAGTAATGGTCAATGTTAGCCAGTATATTGGTACAACCCCCTGGCAGAGCAAATCGCCTGCCAACTCTCATCCTCGTTTTGATTGGGGCTTTAGTGAACATATATACCATTTCGTTTTCCAGTCTGTGACTGTAGCTGTGGCTATAGTATAGATTCCTGCAATATAATCACGACTCAGAATTCGTTCCTGAATACAAGGAAAATTAGTATTACTGATCTGACCTTCAAACATTGAATGGAAATAAATGAGGACAACTGTATTTCTGAATTATTAACTTGGTAAATCTTATTAAATTGGTAAATGTTTATTATACTATAAAAGTTTATTTCTGTCTTAATAATGAATCTTAAGAGGAGGGGGAGGGGGGGGGTTACCTCCCAAACTGAAAGGATATTTTAAGGTACCTGAGCAGGGTTGAGCCCCCTTCCACAACTGAATGCATGGCTTAGAACTGTTAGCTAGAGCTATCCAGACAGAAATACAAATGGTACTGAATGTAAGCAAGATTAATAATAGTGCATGGGACGACTCCTGGAATCATTTCCCTTCAACAGTGATTTCACCATTGGTTGTCATCGGAGTACTCATCGTGCTGGAAGCAACTACAACTTGCTTTTTTGCTGTTATGCTGGATTAGTTTTTAATCTTCCCTTGTTTATAGAAGCATACACTAATCCGGATCAGCTGTTAAATTTGGGTGCGGAACTTGCGAGACCAACATCGCGAGGTGCTTACTAAAGTACCGAAGTAATGAACAAAAGTACCGAAGTACTGAACATAAACTCGTTTTTCTTAAAAACTTTAATAAAAAAACTTGTCAAATTTGTTGGCTAGTAAAACACTGCAAAATACGAGTTTATGTTCGGTATTTTAGTTCCGTACCTCCGAGTTCGCAACTTGCGAAGTTGGCTTTGCACGTTCCGCGCCTAACATCAGTTCCAAATTTAGAGACGTCTTGGGAATATTCACAACAAATTTAGGAACCGTGCTTTGAAAAGTAACCTAAAACTGACAAGGCAATTTACCGGCCGAGACGTTCCGATAGTGCTGTAGAAGACCAGAAATACCTTTCCCTTGTTTTTGTGGATGCAATAGATGTTTAATAGGCATTTGCCTGTTTGCACAGGCTCACGATCAATGCCGCCCTTCCTTTGAAAGTTTTAACTACAAGTACTGAGAAGTTCCTACTGTGTTCTAGTTTTAGTCTTTCTCTTATTAGAAGAGGATGTTAAAATTGATACTAAAATTCAATTGGAGTATATCATTGTATCATTTGGGTGGGACCAAAATATTGCCCTTGCTTCAAAGTTTTACCGGCTGAAGACATGAAGTTCCCATAGCAGTCTTCCGGAGAGTGTAAACATATACTAAATTCAAATGCTGAGTATTAGCTCTATCAGTTTTGACTTTTCTCCCTATAGAGCCGTAGTAGACTACGACATAGTATGTGTAATGTGATAAGTGCTAAACGTAGAGGTCCAGCAAGTGTTACAATATTATTTATATTGAATATCAGATCTAAACTGTTCTCCATAGAGGTCCAAGCCATCACTTATCGGCCTAATATTACTACAAGAGGAAACGTAAACTATAAACTAACTTAACCGGCCTAAATTAACTTTATTTATACTGGATATAGCTCTATCAATTTATACTGGATATAGCTCAATAATTCTAAACTGACGTTCTACCTATAGAAATATATTTTTGACAAAAGATTACACTCCATGAATGTCAGCGTTTGTTTGGTTTAGCAACCCTGAATCACCAGGACTCATTTATCAAAGTTCAGGGTCAGTTTCAGTAGGTTTCCTCCTGTAGTAATTAACACTAGACCAATCAGGGATGACCACGACTGGGCCTCTAAGGAGAACAGTTTATAGAACTGACGGAGCTATCCAGTATAAATAAAGATAGTCTATTTTAAGTTTCCTCCTGTAGTAACACTGGGCCAATAAGGAGTAGAGCTTACTGGACCTCCAGCGATAACAATTTAGAACTGCAGCTTCCAGTATAAATAAAGTTAACCCTGGCAGGCAACTATACGAGGACAAGAGATGATTTAAAAAGACAATGAAGCCATTGTGAATCTCAATATAGCTACTTGTATGCAAAAATATAGGAAATGCAGGAGATGTAAAGTATAGTAAAACGAAGAGTACGTAAAGCTTTACTATTCGTGACAACACATTCATGAATATAAATGTTAGGTCACGTTGCCGGCGTCAACTGTTTCCTATCCATTTTTTTTTTTCACTATATCCATATATGGTTGCATGCAAAAACTCTTGCCAACTCTCGTAAAAATCGTATGCGCTCTCATCAGCTCAAATTTCAGTGATGAGAGTCGGTGAGTGCTGACTATTTGTTTAAATATCCCCATGTATAGCAATACTGTAGTACCAGTAAAGCCTCAGTCCAACGACGATGAGAATTGATGAGAGTTGCAACTCTCGCTCGCGTTGGACCGCCCACTTTCATCATTCTCATGCAACTCTTGTTCGTTTGATTGAGGCATGAGAGTTGAGAAAACTCTCGTCCAACTCACGACTCTCATCAGTCCTCTTTCTCATTAATCCTCGTCACGTTTAAAGACAAAACTACCCTATTTATCACCCGGTTATTTATTATTCATAAATGTATATTGAACATTTACTTGAACGGTCGGTCATTTCAAATTACTTCAATGGTGACTGCAGTTGGCTTCAACATGAGAATCATACTATCATTTATTTTAATTAGTCGTTTAGTCTTGGATAATGTGTACTTGTCTTCGTGCATTGTAATTCTTGAAAATCTTTGAAAACGGAGTTTTTAAGCACATGCTCATATAATGATTAAGTTTACCGATGAAAAGTCTTTCCGATTTTGTGATTTAAAGATAAGTGGCGGATGTTCTTTAGTCGAAGAGCGTAGTTTTGAAAATTGCAACTCGCATTCCAACGCCAACTTGATAGGATATGTTGCAATCTCATGTTGTAGTCACAAGACTTTGAAGTTAGCAGGCGATTCAGTAAAATATGATGACCGTGCAAATATATACATATATACAGTATGTATTTCATGGAACAAAGCAAAGTGTCGATTTTTCATAATGAAAATTAAAGGATCACATTCATATTGAAGGATCACTTTAATAAAGCCAGAATTCGCCCGATACACCAGACGACAAGAGACCTTCTTCTAGATAGAAATTGGATTTCTAGATTGAAATCACTGAATAGCTAATGAGGTAACACAAATTAGTATGGCCGACAACACAAGTGTCATTATCTAGTGTTTAAAAAGTTCTAGAACTCGATCACATTAAAAGGGATGTATTAGGAAGCAAAATCTTTTCAAATTGCATAGGAAGACATTTGCCTGATGAGTGATGGTGAAATTAATTAAAATTACTTGGTTTGTAAAACAATCGACATGCCGAGGTTTATAAGAATCTTTTCTCGTTATAAATATTGGCTTCGAAATTGGCTCATTTCAAAATGATCTGTCCAGTCTTAAATTAGTTTTAGATCAGTGAGGTTCAGGCATTGCCATTAAACCATTTTAAACCTTCGAACTGAATTTTCTTCAGTGCACAAGGAGTTTTGGTCAAACCTTTTCACATAGACGCGTGGTTTGCACACACAAATCAAAACAAACAATTTTATCACCATGCAAACATTCAAATGAACCCTATCATGTTTAAATCACAATGAGTATATATTTGTTTGAGTTCCAAAGTTTGTCTCGTTGTCATCCTGTTGCTAAATGCCTTTTTCATTCCAGACAAAGGGCCCTTGTTCAAAACGTCGGAATCTCAGTTATTGTAACAGACACCTATACCATGCAAGGGTGAAAAATAGCATATAAACGTGGTCGGTTCTCAAGAAAATTCACAAACGTATCAAAGCATCCATATTGAATCCATATGTTAAATGTTTAGATATTCCACAAGATATAACTGCGATATGTTTAATTATGTGATTTCCAACCAAAACTTCCGATAAAGATATAAAAATTATCTTCCTATTTTCCGGTAAAAACGTCCTGTTTCAAAATGGCACGAGTGCATAAAGCTGACAAGTCAATTTTATATTGCACGGTCATTTGACAACGTGAAATTAAATTACTCCACATATTCGCTGAATGAATCTGTGATCTTGAGTACAGTTAGTTCTGTTGTGTTTTCCTCTAAACATGCTGCAATCCTTTGGTTTTCCGTTACAAGGCAGCTTATCGTCAACTCTTTTAGACTACAGGCTAATGTTGAAACTTATAGAGCAAGAAATTTAAATTAATTTAAACTAATACAAGGACTGACTTCGTGATATATTTAAAATTAAAAGATTAATATTTGACCACCAATTACCCTTGGTATACCAGAATACATTGCGCTTACAAGATGGCGGCACTGTTGATTAATAAGCCAATTCCAACCAGGTGGGATACTAATAGGTACACATTTATCACAAGACAGGCGAGATTCAGCCTTGTGTGCTCTATACCTTAATAAATCGGTAGTTAAAAACAGTCGTCAAATATCATTAAAGTACCGAATACAGAACTCAATATATCTCTCAAGTGCATGTGTCACCTAGATTGGCCAACCGTGCCTGACATGTTTCAACACATTTCCGTAACACTTGTCTTCAAGTGTCTTTGTGAATTATGCGTAATTTTACGTAGCTAACTACATCACTAAAATTTAACAAACATTCATTTTAGATAAAGAACTCGCGTCTGCTTTTTAACAGTTGCATATTATATTCTCCCATTGGTCCTACGATTTCGCTATAATAACAAGTAAAATTGTCTGTCAATAAGCAGAGTAAATTTCTCAACTCCCGGCCTGCCAGACTTAAATATTTAGACTGTGTCACCTTTGCTTTATTCCCCCAAGAACAATCACTTATTGATCCGAAACCTAAACTAAACTTAGTAAAACTGGATAGCTCTATCAGTTCCAAACTGTTCTCCCTAGAGGTCTAACGAGAGTCATATACCTTATATATTGCTCTATTTTTATAACAAGAAAAGACTGGATGAAAATTGGATGAGAATTTAGCAGAATTAGAAAAGTTTGTCTTGCTTTGCTTTGCTTTGCTTGGTAGAGTGAATTGAATGCGTTTGTCATCCATTGTATAATTTATGCACGATACATAACTTAATTCAATGGCGCGGGGGGAATACAGTCTCCACTGCAAGTGCTATTATAGTACATGATATATAGCTTTAACAATATAATGTTTTTGTCATTTATGTCTTGGGCAGACGCGCGGTCTACTCCATAGTTCATAAAACTCTTCATTCATTCATTAAGTATACTGTAAACACATTAGCTCGTGAGTACTTGAAGTTTGAATAAACTTAACCCAATATCGAACCCCACTGCATTTGTTTTGCACATATGATTCATTTTTACTAAATTTGGATAATTGGCAATAGTTTCATATAAACCACTAGAATAATCAATGTTGTTATAGCAACAAGATGAAACGAAAACCAATAATTGTGAAACCTTGTATCCTACCGCTAAGGATACTGCGCCCGTTTGCGATATTGTTTATAAAAAGTAGGCCAGCCAGTTCCCTATTCATATGTATATTAGGAGAATGATTACACCTCCCACACACAAGCAGGGTTTGAATTTCAACACATTGTTTTAAGGAATATAGTCTAATTCCCCGCCTAAATCATTTTATCCTTTTTTGAATGGTGCTTTGTTTAATTGATTAGAGACAGTAATGATCATTGGCATTCAGACGCCGAATTATATGTGGGTGAATTTCATCTGTGCCCCGCCTGTCGTTCCGCTCACCACTATCGTGCAGCAGATGGTGATCAACTTGCAGTTATCTTGGAGAGAAAATAATTCTTATCAATATGTAATTGTTGTCCAATGAATTTGGTGAATGATATAACTAAAATAATTGTAAATCAAGAGATGCTGTATATATGCTCTGGTTCTTAGAGGTGCCCGACAAGTTGACCACCATCTGATTTTGTAATGATTCCCGAAACTTGATAATTGTGGCTATATTTAAAAGATGATTGAATAGTTAGATACTATGACTATCGGGTGCACACATTTTGAACATTTGAAAATTCATTTTGCAATTTTACACGTCTAATTCGTTCTCACGGTTGTCGATATAAAATTATATAATGTCTATTCAAGCAAATCCTTGAAGCGTCTCATTTGTAGTCCATTAGTAACTCGGTAGGAAGTCTTTGTTCAATTCTGTTTGAGGCCACCTCGAGTATAAAGAACTGGATTACATTATTATGTAAATACGTTCCGACTATTACCTTTCTTTTAATCCTTTATTATTGAGATAATGGCTGCATATTAGTTCTTTTTATAACAGTGATGTTATATCGCAAACGTTTGGCTAAAGTCCATGTTTTATGCACGTTTGGCTAAAGTCCATGTTTTATGCAAACTCAAGCACACTTCTAACAATTTTCTCAATTGCATGAAAACATGCATGATCAGTTATGTCCATCCAGTCTGTAAGTGTCAAAAACGAAAAGAGATGATGTTTGGGTATATTTATTCATTAACTTTGCCTTGTACCCATGCACAATACAAGCACAATACAATACATATACATGCATATTTCAAGGCAGGCATGACATAATAGTGATCAGTAATACGTGAACATTATCAACTTAGCGAAGAAAAACTGTCAGTATTTAACTTCATTCCATCAACGAGAATATATGAGTACACCTGAGTATACACAACACCAGCACAGAAAAAATCATATTACTAGATTACACACTAAAATCATATTACTAGATTTTTTCTGTGTTGGTGTTGTGTACTCACCTGAGTACACAACACCAACACAGAAAAAATCATATTACTAGATTACACTGGTATCGAAGGAACTAGATTCTGTTCCGAAATATCACTTACTCGAACCGTCCTGACCGCGTAGCTCAGTTGGCAGAGCATTGGCCTAGTATTCCAAAGGTCGTAGGTTCGATTCCCAATTTCCCACCATGGCCGGGCATATTTTTCAAGCTCGTCCGGTGTGGATATACACTCAGAGTAACATCACAAACATCATGTCCGGGTGGTTCAATAAGATCGTTGAAAGGTTGAAATTCTACAATTCGGAACTATACGCGAACTTAGTGCTGTTGTCTACTTGTCCACAGAGGAACTGCATGGTGGGATTTTATATAGACTTGGTTCATGTCCATCTCAGGAGAAATTAAGTAGGGAGAGACGGACTTGGGACATTCGCAGCATTTCGAATGTTACTTGCAAAAATTGGCGCGAAAATTTGTTGTTGTTCTCAACTGGCAAGCCACGCCTCCGTAGGAAAAATCCGACGGTAAAATTTGGCGCGCTTGCAGGGTATCCAAGTCCGTCTCTCCCTACTTTTCTCTCATATTTTCGCGCCTTTTTTGACCGTTTGCGTGCATCGCTATTTTCAACCCCTTGAGAGACGGACTTGAACTAAGTCTAGATTTTATAGATCAGGGTAATTGCGAGTGTGAATGTTAAGGCCCTGTCACACTATTGCGTATCGTACTATAGCGTATGCCAGCGTATGAAAAATATCACTCATACGCCGGTATACGCTGACATACGCCAGGGGTACGTTAGGCATAGGTTGTATACGTTTCAGGCACGGTCGCGTACGGTGGCTGGCATACGGCGAGGCAGAAAATTTTTTTAAGCATGCTCAAAAATTTTGTGCGTATCGGACGTATGCTTTATACGATAAGCATACTCTAGGCATACGCTAAATACGCTAGAGGTACGCCAGATGTACGGTACTCATACGCTGGCATTTCAAAGGATTTTTGTGCGTATGAAAATTATTTCATTAATTTTCATACGCTTCTCATACGTTTCTCTCATACGCAATAGTGTGGCAGGGCCTTTATATATACATTTAAATATTTAGACCTGACCAGGAGCAGTTGCAAGCCCTCTTGCAGGAATTGAACCCATGCGCTCATTGAACCCACGCCCATTTCGTAACTGATTCTGGTTAGGTCCGAAGAAATGTACAAACCCTTGACCTTGAACATTAGTTCAATCGAGTGAGATGCCAAATATCCTAATATTACTGCAGTGTCTGCATTATAGTACGAAGTTGGACGTATAGAGAAGGTTGAACGATAGCTAGAATGATGATAAACTGATGACAAAGAAGTATTTTAAACACTTAATTTTCCCTTTAGCTTTTACTCTTCGCGTGTTTTAAATGTTTTCCATCCTAATAAATTCAGCGGTAAAATTTTGTTTTGAATGATGTCTATGTTCTAGAACAAAGACAGGACGTGTAGTATAGAAGTCGGATTCTAATGCAGCTCAACATCATTACGCAGACGTGCTATGATGCAAGATTACAGAGTTCATGGTTATTTAATAAAAGAGCATCATGTCAAGATATTCATACCAATAGTCGGTAGTAGCAGAATTATTGTGTTGGTATAACGCAGGAATGGGCCGGGCTAGTGGCTGGCATGCATTCTCACTCAGAAAAGTTTGAAAATCACCAGCCCGGAAAGGGCTTTTCCAGCTATTTCTAGCAATAATTGTGCTTAAAAATTGCCTATGGCCCATGTATATTGCCTGATGATAAGCAGATATATTCTGAAAACTCACATATATGTCTATACTGTAAATGGAATTAGTGGGCTAGATTATAGTATCACCTTTGTTGTAAATGGAATTAGTAGATTATAGCACGTATATGACTAAAAAAAACTGTTACACGAATCAGTTTAAAAAAAGTTGAACACTTCTCTGCTCTGAAGTAATGAACTGTCACATAAGTACGCTTGCGCGCTCCTATGCGTAATCTTTCAATGATTTGGCAATATATGGTCCATTGAGTGAACTAGACTTTATTTCAAAACAACCATAACATTATGATATTTGTGGTGTTACTCTGAGTGTATATCCACACCGGGCGAGCTTAAAAAATATGCATATTTTTCAAGCTCGCCCGGTGTGGATATACACTCAGAGTAACACCACAAATATCATATTCACCTGAGTACACTACACCAACACAGAAAAAAACCAAAAAAAACCATAACATTGATTCTGCTAGGCCAGTTTTAATAATTTCAGTTTCAAAATTCATCTCTTGGATTGAATTTTTGATTCCCACTTATAATAGCTGTTGTAAAAATGTGGAAAAACATAGTTATTACATTTTTTCGTGACACCCTTAGAATGTTTACATCTGTTATGTTTATAATATCCAAATTTATTTGTAAACAATTGTAATCCTTCACTTTATATTTTTCATCTATGTGAGAGCATGTTGAGTCGTGAAAAATCTGCACTATAAAAAAGAATTGTAATATTAATCTGTGCGTGGTGGGCAGTTAATCTGACACCATGCCTTGAACGTGACACCATGCAATACATGACCAAACTGTTTTTATGTTGACCTCAAATCATTCCAGGTTATAATTAAGCCTCTTGCAATAATCTTTAGCTGTTGACTGAAAGGTAGCATAATGTACGATTTGGCGATTTGCTAGCTTTGGCCATAGTTCAAAATCAACAACTTGTTTTTTAGTTTTTGGCTTCATATCACAGCAATAAACAATGGATTGTAATTAATCTTGTTAGGAACTGTCATGCACGTTCAAACATGCTTTCAGTTTTGTGTTTACAAAAGTGATGTAAATTTTTTGTAAATTTTAGTAAATTTTGAGTGGAAAGATTCGTCCCTCCAATAATTGCCCACCAATAAGTGGCCTTGTTATCATGGTGGTTAGGGCATGTGCCTTTGATCGTACCATACGCCATGGAATTAGCAAATGAGAAACATTATCTGGTTAAAACTTTCCTGGTTGACCTAGAAATAACTCTATTTGGGTTAGCTTAATATTCCTGCTTAAATTTCCTGATTAGTATATTAACCAAACCATGTTAGGTGGATAAATAACCAGAGATCCCTGGTTATATATCCACCTATATAACTTGTTATCATTTTGCCTTGTTATCATAGTGGTTAGGGCATGTGCCTTTGATCTTACCATACGCCATGGAATTAGCACATGAGAAACATTATCTGGTTCAAACTTTCCTGGTAACTTTCCTTTTCTTCTTTTACTTGTCTGGTAACTTTAACAGGGACGTCCTGGTCAAATACCAGATTTCTGGTTACATTAACCAGACTATATAGTAATTAACCAGACTATATGATAGGACGTGAGATACATTAATAACCAGGAAGGAGTTGCTCTATCAGTTCCAAACCGTTCTCCATATAGAGGTCAGTCGACTATCGGCATTCGGCCATCTTTTATTGGTCCAGTGTTACCACAGGGGAAAACATAAACTAAACTAACTCAATATCTATACTGGGTAGCTCTGTTTGTTCAAAACTGTTTTTCCCTTTTCCTTATTGAATACAATGTTACTACAACAGCCACGATCAGTTCAGAGGAAAGAACAATGATAGGAAAGAACAATGATACTGACATGCAGTTATTCTGAAGATTTTAATTATTAAAATCATTAAATCTTCCCCCGGTGTTGACAAACCACTTGTTATAATTGACATGATTTTTTGAATCGACCCGGATATGCCTGTCAACATATAGGGGTGTAGCTCACATAAAAAATATTCCGCTTATAAGCTGGCGAAGTATGGATTTGAATTAGCGCTCCTCGAGCGATCTCTATTTTTATTCCAAGGTATCTTTTAACATTCAAATTGAAGGTCAATGGTTCATTTCTGTTGATTGCCCAAACTAAATGATTTTTACCACTCCTTGTCAATTTCCTTTTAATAATATAAATAGTTTGGTTGCTAGGAGCCAATGTCATCCGAAAAAACAGCAACAAGTTTTATTTGTATTGAATGGCTCTGCCAGTTCCAAACTGTTTGTTCTTGAGGTCCTGTAAGGGATATCCTTCATTGCTTCAACTAAATTATAGAGAGTCTAGCATTGCAACACGATTTTACAAAAAAATTACTGAATTATTAAAATCTCTAACAATTTTACCGAAATTTTACAAAAAAATCTCATTACCAGAATTTTTCCAAAATTGACGATATTTTACCAAAGTAAAATATTTTACGAAATCCGGTTGCACTGCCTCAGTATAGATGTGAGTGAGCGAGAGGATCGTTCACAAGGGCCAGTTGTCCAAAGATTGATTAGCACTAATTAACCCTGGGTTAATATCCTTAACTCGCTGCTTTGCTCTAAGTACATTTGCAAATCATATGCGTTGTTTCTTAACTTTAGAATATATAACTTTCACCTATTCATCTGGACAAGATTTTGGAAAAATATGCACCCCTAACCTTATAAAGATTTTGGCATAATCTCGTTCACTTAATTAATTCTACAATTAGATCATTTATGTAGCTCTAACATGAAATAAATAGCTTCGCTATGTAGGAATTTTTAACTCCAAGTTAAATTATTTCTTCCAGTTAAATTATTTGAGAATAAATACTGGAATTTTCCATGTTACGGTCAACCCCCACGCTTTGTCACCCTGCCCCCCTCCCCCCCTTTCATACCTTGCCGGCTTGCCCCCCTTGAGCGCGCCAGAACTGCCAACAAGGAATAGCTTTTTCTATACCTATTACCTCTAGGAAGAACATATAGAACTGATAGAACTATCATAGGCGTACGGGGCGGTGGGGGGGGGGCGGTAGCCCCCTCCCAAGTTTTTTGGGCAGTCGGGCAATTTCCCAGTTTTTTGGGCAGTCGGGCAATATTCGATCAACAGTCGGGCAATTTTGGTTTGCAATTAAAAAAAATGGGACAAATTCTGTCAATTTTGTCTAAAATTAAGTAAATTTTTTGGCAAATTTTGTGATTTTTGGAAAATTGGTGTTATGTTCCGAAAGATATTGGTTGTCCGGAAAAATTTTTTGACCCCTAAAATGGTACACTGACCGAAATTTTTTTGGCGACGGGGAGGGGGTCGCCAAAATAATTTTTCCGGAAAAAATTTTTTTGGCAATGTGGAATTTTTTGGGCAAAAAAGCTACCGCCCCCCAGAATTTAGCGGCCCCGTACGCCTATGAGAACTATCCAGTGTAAACAAAGATTAGTGTAGGTTTGCTCTTGTGCTGTAACACTGGAATTCTATAGAGAACGCCAAGAACAGATCAGAGAGCTTCCTACAATTGACTCTTCGAATATAATCAATCATGTTTAGTACTTATGTCTTATCACCCGGCATTTATCCAAATTTGGTTGTTTGAGTTTTTGGAAACACTAGTTGCCTATCATGTCAGTTAAAAGAGCGCTTTAGGGCATGTTTCTATACAACAAACCATCATGTGATAGAAACGTGTCATTTCACATAAGATCAATATGGAAAGTTCAATAGTAGAGCCAACATATATTCTCCCTGGAGGTCAAAATCACGCGGCCGTGTGCACTTATGTGAGTAAAAAGCCAATATAAAATTGGTATATTGCGTGATTACGTTTTCGTGTCTAGGCCTGCATCCTTATATTTTGTCTTATTTATAAAAACAACTTGAGAAAATTTATATATGGACTAAACGTGCTTGGAAGAAAATTTCATTGATTTGTATGGCCCGTTTTAAAGGTCAAATTAACACAGACTGAACTCGCTTTTGGAAACATGCCTAATTTGGGTTTATCTTAAAGTTGTCATAACATGTAGCTACAGTGTGCTAAAACCTATGCCTATGG